TATTTTCGAATCCAGCTACTCGTACAGAAACTATCTGTCTTTTATTTCCGCCATGTACCTATCACATGATCTTCCCATTTGGAATAATAAAACTGAAATTGCTCCTCTTATACGATGATCCACAGGGCTATCAGTCTATTTTTTCATAATTATTTCACTTAGTAGGCGGTGTACCTACACAAAATGTTTCATGTGTTTGACAGTTAATCGATTGCATGAATAATTTTTCTTCTTCATTTGTGTGTTGATTAAAATTGCATATTATCAATAGAGACGGAAAAAGAAACGGAAAAGTCGATATGTTACCAGATCTAGTAACCTAACCAAAGATATGTTACCAGATCTAGTAACCTAACTTAAGATATGTTACCAGATCTAGTAACCCAACCTAAGATATGTTACCAGATCTGGTAACCCAACCTAAGATATGTTACCAGATCTGGTAACCCAACCTAAGATATGTTACCAGATCTGGTAACCCAACCTAAGATATGTTACCAGATCTAGTAACCCAACCTAGGATATGTTACCAGATCTAGTAACCCAACCTAAGATATGTTACCAGATCTAGTAACCCAACCTGAGATATGTTACCAGATCTAGTAACCTAACCTAAGATATGTTACCAGATCTAGTAACCCAACCTAGGATATGTTACCAGATCTAGTAACCCAACCTAAGATATGTTACCAGATCTAGTAACCCAACCTAAGATATGTTACTAGATCTAGTAACCCAACCTAAGATATGTTACCAGATCTGGTAACCCAACCTAAGATATGTTACCAGATCTGGTAACCCAACCTAAGATATGTTACTAGATCTAGTAACCTAACCTAAGATATGTTACTAGATCTAGTAACCTAACCTAAGGTATGTTACTAGATCTAGTAACCTAACCTAAGATATGTTACCAGATCTAGTAAACCAACCTAAATAAATGTATTCAAGAAACGAAAAAGTCGATATGTTGTTAATATGCAATTTCAATCAACACACAAATGAAGAAGAAAAATTATTGATGCAATCGATTAACTGTCAAACACATAAAACATTTTGTGTAGGTACACCGCCTACTAAGTGAAATAATTATGAAAAAATAGACTGATAGCCCTGTGGATCATCGTATAAGAGGAGCAATTTCAGTTTTATCATTCCAAATGGGAAGATCATGTGATAGGTACATGGCGAAAATAAAAGACAGATAGTTTCTGTACGAGTAGCTGAATTCGAAAAAATATGTTCCTATCTTAGATTCCTCAATATCATGAGTTATTTCCGAAGGTTTTCATCTAGACTCAAACAAGCTATTGACAATCTGCAGACATTGATCAGAATATCGAAACATTTTGAATAATATCGGTTTACTAATAATATTTAAATTTCAAAGCCTACCAAGTGTCGATGTCACAGCCAACTTATACTTTTTGAATAAAAAGCAATTCAACAGCGAATCAAGAAATAAATGCCACTTTGTGATACAATTTATTATATACCCCCTGTGAATTTCAGAATTTCATCTCTTCACATAAAGAAACTACAGGCTGCCACATGTTTCCTGTGTCACCCGGTATATCTTACCGTTTGAGAAACAGCAATAATCAGATCGGCGGGACGAAAAAAATACATTGAGCTGTTCTTCCTAATTATTTATTCTGCGTGCTAATGTCGACTTTCAGATTCTTTTTCTGCAGAAAATTTCTAGATCTGTTGTGAAATGTGGATTTCAAGTGAGTACCACTATGAAAAAAATTAAAACTTTAATAATACTTCTTCACTCATCACCTTTTGTCATGCAATATTTTGTTGAATTCCCACAGGGATATTATGTATGTATGTATAGTTGTTTTAGTATCTTGTGATAAATGTATATAATTTTGCAAATAACCTGTAAATAATTTGAATGTATTTTTGCAATAACAATTCATTACATCCCGTTTTATTTTTAAATTGTATAAATTGTATAAAGACATATAGTTTTTAATTTAGTTGATGTGATCATTCAGCTGAACATAGAACTGAAGTAAATAAGTTTTCGATTGATCACTTTTTTTATAAATTACTAATGGAGAGACGATAAATACCTGTTATATACTATTTAATAAATAGTAAAATACATTTTTAAGCATGCAGTTTTATTTTATTTCCGAAATCCTTTATAGATTATAATAATATGAAACGAAATTGAAATATTTTTCAGTGAATCCCAATAAGCACCACCCTTTCGTGATACCTACATCAAATTAAAAGTCTTACTATTTAGTAGTATTCATCTGTACAAAAATTTTTTTCAATCTAAATATTATTTTCGCTTGAAAACAAAAGACATAAGCACTGATTCCGCCAGTGAACTTGTGCAGAAAAATAGACGATTATGTCGAAACTACTGGCAACATTGTAATGAAATTTTGTATGGGTGTTCCTTGATATCTGACACATCGCATGGATTTCTTTTCATATCTGACTCTCATAGAGGGCGCTAGTTATACGGTTCGTACCGAGTAGTTTAGAACATCACTTTTTTGAGGTTAGATTTTTCAATCCAAATATGATATGAACTTGAACATCAACCAAAATACACCAAAAAGGTACTCTTGGTGAAACTCGATACAATGTTCCGTTTTCGGAATATTTCGATTTGAAAATAATGGAGTAATAGCTAATGCTGGTATAAAATGAATTTAATTGAGTTCAATTACCTATTTATTCAGATTCAACAACAATAAAATCATTCTCGTACTGAAGTCATTGATGAAACAAAGAATCATAAGTAAATTGAAAGAAATTTGACTAGAAACATGAAATATTGAATCAGTTATAGTAAGTGTTCAAAATGTCCTACGCTTCCTACGTTTCGACGAATACTTACATCGATTCTATATCCCTTTCTTTTGAGAATGTATTGTTGAGAATCAGCTGTTGGGTCATTTAAGTGATGTTCAATTATGTCTTACAACTCTCGACGTGAATTTTCCTATGTAGCATAAACTTTCTGCTCAAGATACAACAATAAAACTGTGTAATCCATGTTCTTAGTCAAATCTGTTTCGATGTTACTATTATGATTCATTGTTGAATCAATGAGTTTTGCATCAGAAATGTATTGTTGTTTTCGGTTTTCAATAAATAGGTGATAATTTTTCATAATACTCACTCTAATACATAGCTTTATATCAGCAACAGTTATCACTTCATCATTTTCAAATCGAAATATTCCGAAAACGGAACATATAGTATCGAGTTTTACCAAGAGTATCTTTTTGGTGTGGAATTGAATGATGTTCAAGTTCACATCAAATTTGGATTGAAAAATCTAACGTCAAAAAAGTTATGTTCAAAACTACTCGGTACGAACCGTGTAACTAGCGCCCTCTATGAGAGTCAGATATAAAAACAAATGCATGAGATGTGTCAGATTCCAAGAAACATCCATACAAAATTTGATCACAATGTTGTCAGTAGTTTCGACATAATCTTGAAAAATGTGTAAAAAAAATATTTTTTCAACACCTTGTATCTTGATAACGGATGCCATTACGAAATTTTTTTACTGAGTAAACCCAAATTATTTCGCAGTGTTCTACCTACCCTAGTGAGGGGGTTAGGTTTTTTTGAAACACCCTGTATAACTTGGATCATTTTGATAGATCCTAATTGGTAGGTGTAACTTATTATCCCTATGGCTTGTGTATAGTGTAAATCATGTAGACAATCATTTGTTTTGAAAGAGGTCGAGTTCTTTCTGAAAATCACTAGAACCACGTAGATGTATGAAGATGGCATTGTACTTCCTACAGTTACGGCGAGGTTTCCTAAACACACACCGCAATCTGCACAACCTGATGTACAACACGACTATATCAAAAATTGCATAAATAGTTTCTGACCCTATCAAAGCAGGAATCGATTAATAAGCAACAGCTGACCTCATCGTGAAAACGCTCTGTATAAACGACTTCTATCATTCATACAGGATATTCTCGGAATTGAGGCGATAATAAATAAAATGTGCATAAGAGAAAACGAAGAAAAAAAAAACGAGAAGTAAATTTTTGTCAAAAAGTATATTTTTGCTATATTTGACCTATCTATACAGGGTGTTTCATAATTGAATAATGCTGATCCTAAAGCAGGGAGATGATCCTTGGATGATTTTAAGGAGAGAAGTTCATATCAACATATGTCCCGAACCTCTTAGTTTTTCAGCTACAGGGTGTTGAAATCAGAAGCGTACAGCGTTTTTTAAAACTAAACATTCAATATCAGGTCTACCGAGGACATCATCACTGGTAAAAGTAAAAGTTTGATTTTCGTCCCAAAACAAAATGTGTTTCCACTTATAGTGGGTGTCTACTGAATTACCAAAAACAAATATCCAAGAACTGAAGGAACAAAATTCTTTGGTTTTTATTTTTTTACGCGAAAACGGTACGTTGTATGAAAGTAAGTCTAGGAACCAAATTTGCTCCAAAATGGATAAGAATTGGAAAAAAAAATCTGGTTCTCAGAAAAATCAGTGGCCTACTATTTTTTTCATCAAAAATTGTCAGTTCAAACCCCGTACGGACGCCACTGGTGAGCATTTTTGAAAATCTTTCACGTAAAAAAATGCTCCTTGATAATGAAAAGGTGTATGTATACGAAATATCATAACAATATCTAAAAGTGATAAAAAATTATGATGAAAAACTCATTTTTTTCTTGAAATTTCATCACCCTGTAGCTCAATAACTAAGAGGTTTAGGACATATGTTGATATGAACTTTTCTCTTTGAAATCATCCAAGGATTATCGCCCTTCAGCATTCAATTATGAAACACCCTGTATAATCAAGATATCGATCTTCCACCTTCAATTGTTTCAATTACAAACCTATCCAACCTATTTCCACCTGATGACTCGAAGGTCAAAATCGAAAAAGTTTTTCTCACGTCGGAAAATACGCAGTTTTGACTGCACACGCGCAAATGATCCGGGCGCTTCTTCGGATTGCTCCGGTCGCAGACTCTAGTAAAACCGTACCCGTACTCTAGGGCGTGGAAATCTGGAAATGGTTAGTGGAAAATCAGTATCGTTCAAAACACATCAGAGGTGAGTACAAACTTTATTTCACCAAAAATCATCTCGTTTTCTGCAAGATCTCTTGGGTATTTGGACTGAAACATTATACATAAGAGCTCATTTATTATACTTATCAATCGCTTTACATTCTGTATTTCTATGAACATTTGTTTTTCCCTGGCAAATATACGGAATCAGGAATAATTATTTCCCCACCAATTATTATTGCAACTATTTTTGGAAAGAAGGCAAAGGCATATGGAAAATTCGTTGGTTGGCTAAAATGTTTCCATTTGGTATTGATCGGTTAGTTCATTACAGCGGTGTACTTACACAATCTAGATATGGGTGCACGCGCACTTATTTGATGGTGAAATTAAGTGGTTAGATCAATTTTGGGAAATTGAATAAGCGGAGCAAAAGGGTCTGATGACTTTTTGACTCGCGTTTTCGTTTTCATAGGTTCTTTGTTGATGGACATTGTGAATCGAAGTGAACATTCGAAATTGGATTAATAGTAATTCAGAGGTGAATATTTTTGGAAACACTCGAATTTTTGTATTTTTATACTTATTCAGAGTGTTTCGTTATAAAACGGACATACGTATAGTGGAACTTATTAGATACCTATACAATAAGGAATTTGATGGTTTTTGGTAACAATATATTGTTTATAAACTTTTTCTCCGTATTGATTCATTTAATCAATTAATATGAATTGTGCACAATTATTTCTATAGTGACCTATTTGAATAAGTAATTCGAATGTTCGACTGCCTCAACCATTTTTTAGTTTCTGAACGTTCACTTCATGATTATATAGTGTGTGTTCCAAATTCGATCCTCACCATTGGGATTTCGGTAACTGCATATTGTGAGTGAGGTGGTTAAATTACGAAAGGTTCAGCAAATTTAAGAGTGATTTAGAATCCGTCGAGAAATCTCGACTAGCTTCATTTCTGAGTTATTCAACAAAAACTGGCCCAGACAGCACTGGATATTCATAGAATATTCTCTAAATATGCTAAAAAGGAGGAGTATATTCCGAATATTCATCGATTATTCCTAGAATATATACATGCCACTGGAACATGTAAAAGGAATATTCCAAAGTGAATAGTCGGACATGTTCAGGGAATATTCAGGTATGAATCTTCCAGGAATATTCCCAACTGAATATTCTCTGTTATATATTCATGAAATATACCCAACTGAATATTCTGTGCGGTATATTCATGAAATATACCCAACTGAATATTCTGTGCGGTATATTCATGAAATATTCTCAACTGAATATTCGGTGGTGAATATTCATGAAATATTCCATGAATATTCCTTTGTTTCTCAACACATAAATACCATTTATTATTTCAGAGATATGAGTATCGAACATCAATTAGATGTAAGGGGATTTTGAAACAAGAAGTGTTTATGATCCAATTTCGAACAATGCCCTCATAAGAACTTGATATGTATAACATTATTCAATTCGGTTACTGGCCTAGTGGTCAAGGCGTTGCTCTGATAGTCTTGAGGTCACGAGTTCGATCCCTACTTGGGTCTCTTTTTTTAATTTTAGAATATGTTTATTGGAATATTCCAGGAACATTCAACAAAGAATATTCTTTTGGGTATATTCTATGATTATCTGAGGAATTCCCATTCGCATATTTAGAGAATATTCCACAGATATTCCGGAATATTCCAGATTATTTCTAGAATATTCCAATATTCCAAAAGGAATATGATAGGGAGATTCATGGAATATCTGGTGCTGTCTGGGGGAATTTTGTATTTTCGTCCTTCTCGAATATCTCCAAAAATATTTCGATTGTGTGAAAAGACGACTTCAACATTATGATGATACAACGAAACATATTTGTTGTTATTCTCTTCGATAACTTCGTAAAAATATTTCAAAAAGTACTCCCGATCGTGACCTAAAAAAACTGAAGAATACATTCGTATCAGGACCGGAATGACTCTTTCGTGTTAGTAAGTACAAGAGGTGTCCCCAAAAGGTCTCAACGAAATCTCAGCATATATTTCTGAGGTCTGAATCAGCCAAATTAAAGCAACTTTTATCTCACAGGGTGGTAATTTTTAAAAATAAAAATGGATTTTTTTCGAAACTTATGACCATTTTGAACGTATTACTTCAAACATTTGTATTTGGTGGATTTTTGGGATGCGGAACCCGAATAACGGACACCTTTTCACTGTGGCCATTAGATGGCGGTTGCCATTGCACTTCTTATGGATTAGAAGGACCATGACTCTTTTCTCAATGAACTTTTTCACTTTTTTGTGCTGATGAAATGATTTTCCAAATATTTCAGAGAAAAAATTAAGGTAATTGAGTAAAAATTCGTTGAAGTAAGCCGTTTTCCAGATATTTTGGTTTTAATTGTTCGATATGTCGCACCGAAATATTCAATTTATTTTGTACTTGTTCGTTTTTTTTTAATTTACCACCCTGTATCTCGACAACGGAGCTATTTCGGACAAAGGTAATCGACTCATTTTGACCTCAGGAGTATATGAGACCTTTCAGGGACACGCTGTAAAGTTTTTTGATGGATTTTTCTAATGAGGGTAATTCAATTGCCTATCATTTCCAAATGACGCCACTGCATTTAACATATTCAAATGTAGGTAACCCGCATATGAACATCGAAAATGTGATAAGAATTGTTTATCTAAAATTCTCTATTCCGGTTTACTATACGAGACACACCTTCCGATTTCCATTTTCCGATTGTGAATTTTTTCGTGGAAAGCCGACTATTACGTGATATAAAATATACCAAGTGTTGTGTAGAATATACAACAGATTATATTGATATTGAAGTGATTGTTCAAGTGCGAGTTGATGCATACTTATTCTGTAGGTAGGTACTTACAGATTTGTTGATGAAATATAAAATACTATCTATTTATTTACCAAAAAATATTCTCACCTTGTTTACTTTGAAATTATGAGAAAGATAGATATTCGTCGCCCCAATGTCAGAACGGTCAATGTTGCTTTGACGAGCCTATCAATATGGAACATTTTATACTGCCAAGAGTATTGTGCTTACCGGAGCTTTCGTTTCAACAGAGATAATGGTTCAAAATAAGAAATTCAAGCCGAATTCAACACCTCTCTATGGTATATTAAATCAATGTGTAAGAGTGAGCCAAAATAATGTCAGTACTTCATATAAAAAAATGTCTCTCGCACTTCGTTACTGAGTAATTTATCTTGAGAGTTTTGCAAGTCCATATTAAATTTCAAGGTCGATAACTCCGTAACGAAGTACGATAGAATTTTTTTTGTAGATGTATGATAAATTGATATTCATCATACAGGACGAGAAAAAAAATCTGAATTGAGAAAACTTAATCACGAATCTCCGATTGAGGTCTATAGAAATAATAACAAGTTTCCATCGTTCAAGTTTGAACCCCTCGAATGGGTGAAAGTATTGAAAAGGAATATTCTCAGATATAATGATATGAACATATTTGAAATCTCTTACATTGTTTGGGTATTCTGTTGGCATCATTTCCAAATGATAAACTTCTGGCTACGTCTTCTTTGAATTTATTGATATTCGATTATGAAAGGGTTTGTTCTTTATCTATGTTGAATGCATTTACCATAGACATGCCTGTCAGCAATTAAAAAAAAATCTTTCGGTACCATTTGATGCCACGTCGATTACGAGTACTATATGAAGCTCTTTGGTCAGACTTGTCAATGACAATGCCACACTTTACTTCAATATAAGGAACCGATGTGTAGAAATGGTAACTGAAAAATAATGTGTAGTCGTGTCACGCCAGTCAGTCGTTTTTGGAAACACGAATAAACATGAACCTGACGTGAGCAATTATAGATTGGTCGTTGTCATGTCCATTTGTTCAGGATAAATTTGTTGTAAATAAATTGATGTGGAATTGACATAATTTCCGAGATATTTTATTGACATAATCACAGTTACGAATATGTTATATGATTAATACGTGAGAATGTTATGTAAATGAGGTAACAACGTTATATAAGCAAGAACATAGCTGTAAATTCATAAGGGACATAGGATTATGTAAGTTTTGTATCTACGATATACAGAACATTGACGTCAATTTGGAAGAATAGAGCTGTGAAACATTTGTTATATGGAATTGATGGCATATGTACGTAAATACAACGAGTGTGTTTACTAGGATGCTAGTAACGCCACTGTCTAGAACTCTTGAAACAAACTGCTCACATTAAACCCCAACGTATGCATATTCCTAATATTCAAATCAAAGTTGAAATGATCAGTTTGCCTCAGGACGAATTCCTGTTGTGCAAATACGCGGTCTAATGGAAACACTGACGATGCACTCTATTCATTCCAGATCGAATTAGCCCTGCTCCACTTTCGACATGCCCCACTTCGCTCCAACATCAAAGGCTATAATGGGGAGGTGACCCACTAAGCAGAAACGATGTCCATGGATGCCGAGCGACAGTTCCTGTGCCCCCGGCTCATAGACTATCTCACTATAGTCGGGGCGCGCTACAGCAATAATCCTTCTAGGCCGAACACCACTCCGCACATTCAGGTAGTACCCGCTATCAATAACCAGTACCGACAAAGCAATTAAGGATTATTTCAATGATATTACAGCAATATTTCGTTGTAATTAAGGGCGATTCATTAAAATGGGCAATTTCTGAAGTACAGATATAGTGAACACCAAAATATGAAGATTTAGTCCAACATTACTGATAAGAAGGTTGCTGGTTCAGGAGAAACAGAGTGTTCAAAATAACTTGAGTATTAACATCATGAACATGAAATCTTGTACCTTCTGGTTTTCTGATATGAGAAATACGAATATTCTAAATCTAAATCTTCATATTTTGGTGTTTGCTATCGGTAGTTCATCAGAGATTTTCCATTCTTAATGAATCAACCTGTATATTACATCAGCGATTGTCTTCTACTACGACCACTGCAACGGACTTTCACTAATATTATGAATGTGATATTCTCGAATGAATTATTACAGTAAGGTGCAACATTGCAAAGGAAGTACAAGAAAATCACATAGGCATCTAAGTGATATTTTGTAGAAATAGCACCAATTTTCCAATAATTATGTTGAATACTTTATTTGACAATTAGGACAGTTTTAAAATATTATCGATATCGGTGGAACTTCGGCCTTCGAAGGGTCATAGGAGAAATAGAAGTAAAAAAACTTTCAAATTTTGAATAAAAATGTGTATTAATTGATGTCTATAAACATCGATCGGAATTGAATCAATAGTAATCCACGTAATAATAATACAGGAGAGAATCTAAAAAAACAGGTTCCTCACTATTTTTGTGGCAGCCAACAAAGCAAGTTTTATAAATTAATTTGCAGAACAATCTAATTCATCTTTATATCAATATTAATGTCAAGATGTGAACATATGCTGATTTTTAAAGAAATCAGTTTGTTTCAGTTGGTTGAATGGTTGGTGAATCAAATTGTCTGAGCACGTTGGTGAGGTGTCCGATTCATGTTGATGTTAGGAACGTATAGTGGCTATATGTTTACATTATTCTCCACTCTATATCACTAAAATGACTCCTACTTTCCGGCATATTGTAGCGATACACAAACACCACCCTTTTCACTAAAGTTCACTTCACTTCACGTTAGAACAGATCAACTATAAATGACGCCAGAAAGGATCGTCTTTGAGGTCGTCTTGAAATTTGCCCGTGAAGATGTTCTTTCGAGACCTATTAGGTCAACGACTATCAATTGAAATATTGTCACTAAGTTAGTCACAGCTTGACCAGGGTATTATTCACAGCCCTGTAATTCGTGAATGAAGCGTTCAGAAGGTGTGTTCATATTATGAACTTTCCTTTTTTAAATAATTTGTTCTATCGATCACCTTCTCCAGAATGAATTCCAATTACATTACAACTGGAAATAAGCAACAGCTGGTCGATAACACACTTCGGATTTTCAATTAAATTCCAATTCTCAATGTTATAATAGTCAATTCGCCTTACGACCCTATATTAAATCTTCATTCTACGTCACTCTACTTCACTTTACGATGTTCCAGTTCGAATAGATTGATGACGCACTTATATGATTTTGCGGACTAATTACGTGACTTCTAGTGAAATATTTGAACTACACCTGTCATATATCATGACAGCTTATACTGAGTGTTCATAACTTGCTATAGCTCGTGAATGAAGCGTTCTAAGAGCAATTAGTAGGGAACGTTTTACTTCAATTATCTATCAACACGAAATAACTAGACCAACCGTACCATTTAATAATATAGTCATCTTCATTATTCCCAAGAAACATATACAGTGTGACCCATTTAAGATGGAAGCACCCTTATAAAACTTACATTTTTCAACCGATTGGAATGATTTTGTTTTTGTTAGGTAGATATTCAAAAAGTCTATTAGGACACCAAATATCATGAATAAATCTCCATTTCCAGGGCCAACTCATCTGATTTTTCAAGGTCAAAAATCTAAAAAAATTACTAGCGATTTTTTTAGAAAAAATCTGACTACACCACTAGATTTGTGACATTTTCAAATGGGTAACATGTAAATTACGTTGAAATGCGTCAATCAATAAAAAAGTTATAGAGGAATGAAATTTGAAAAATATGCCGTTTAATCAACCCACCAATTCATGTTCAGGAATTTAACTTTTTTATTACTGAACAGATTTCGATGAAACTGTGATCAGTAATATTTCAAGACATCCTGAATCCAGTGGAGTATACAGAGTTTTCATAAAATTCCTGAACATGAATTGGTGACTTTTTGAATATCTACCTAACAAAAAAAAAAATCATTCCAATCGGTTGAAAAATTAAGTTTTATAAGGGTGCTTCCATCTTAAATGGGTCACAATGTATTTAAAAAATTGAATTAGATATTCAGATGATCATTTTCAAATCATATACATAGTACATATAATGTTGTTTCTTCTAGAGGCTGTTGAATATAAGTTCTTGAATTGATTTAGGATGATATAAGAGAATTAAAGACATAAGTATTTCTTCAGGTATTTTTTGAATTTCTTCCCAACACTTATTTTTTTCTTCTGTCTGGCAGCTAATTCATTATAGAGAATTGTTCCATTGTATAAAATAGATCTTTTACCCATATCTGATTTGATTTTGATGAGAGTTAACATTATCTTTCAGTCTAGTTATGTGTTCGTGTTTATGACTCAAAATTCAGATTTGAATGTTTTTGATTATATTCGACGGAATGGATGAAATTTAATATTTTGAATTTGTAAATGGAGTTGATATCTAGCAATTGCCTAGGTTTATAAAGATTTCTTGTTGGTTCCAAGTAATCTAGTTTGTATATACATTTAATTACTTTGTTTTGATGGATTTTGATTGGCTTTATAATTGATAACCTAGCTGTACCCCAAACCGAAATGAAGTATTGTAATTTTGAATAAACCAAGGAAAAATACATACATTATAAGTATTTCAAAGTGATTTGATGTCTGATCCTGTAGAGTAGTCCGATTACTGGAGATATTTTCTTTCTGACCGATTCAATATGTTTTGACCATGACAAATGTTCATCAAGGAATATCCCAAGGAATTTGATGGCTATGAAATATTTGATGATTTCATTACTAAATTTGAAATCAAATTTCAGTTCTCTCGAGAGGCATGAATGCTGATTTGCTGTAATTTATACTCAATGTATTATAGGACAACCATGAAGATAAAACAATCAAGTCACTGTCAATTGCATTTCTGATTTGTTGGATTGAGTTTGCGAAATAAATTAATGTAGTGTCATCAGCGAACATGTAAACTTTTCCTTTCAATTTGATGTTAACAATCGACTTGATATATATATCGAAAACAAAACAGGGCCCAAGATTGACCCTTGTGGTACTCCACATATAATTCCATTAGCTGTACTCGAAACTGTTCCCTGATAAACAAATTGTTTTCTACCACTCAAATAATTTCAGATACCAGAGCTCCTCCGCCGCTACCCCATCCAAGACCACAAAGACTTCCCCATGCCTCTGGACATGGTGTATTTCTGCCAGCCGGAGGGCTGCTCCTCGGTGGGACCGAGGAGGACGGCCCTTCGAGAGGCCTCTTCTTTCGTCTTCACCCTCACGGACAAGGACTGCGGCAAGACGCGGTACGGCGTCTGCGTCAACTTCTACAGGCCCATCGAGAGGGCGCAGGGGGGTGGGAAGCTGAACAAGGGGGGCACGAACATCAGTCTGCGGAGGGACTCGTGGAGGAAGAGCATGGAGAAGAGCTCGGATTCGGCTTTCTCGAGGTGAATTTCAACGTGAACGCGGTGAATTGTCGAATCCACAATTACTATAGTACAGAAAAGTTGAACATGAATAGAGCCAAACGTCAGCATTCGAAGGAGAAGGTTATATTTTGATAGGGAAAAGTGCGTTCTTTTCGTAATTATAAGAATAAGCGTGTGCATGACACGTTATATAAGTAATACCCTCTATATAACTCTTTCATTCACACGCAAAGCTCAAAGTCATATCCACAAATGTACAAACTTTTTTTTATGTTCTGGTTCCCACGAAAAGGGATATCCTGTAATGTTCAGAGAACATCGTGAAAACCAAGGGAAATAAGGTAGAAATTGGTGTTTTTCTTAAATTTATGGAGGTTATATGCCTCGGAGAACACCTCCCTTGGCCATGTGTTCCAAAACCTCGCTGTTCATTGGATGAACGAGTCTTTGGAAAGAGATGTTCTGCAGGTCTCCAAAGTGACCACGAAGGGGTGCGAAGCCTCAACTCGACGGGTTAATTCTACCAAGTTATTGGATCCCCATTCGAGAATTGTTGCCAAGTCAATATTTATGTTGTCAACATTTCTCCCTCGTTCGTTTCTGATTTGCCTGGCTGGTATTGGAGCACTGGAAGAGAAGGCGGTATGGAGGGTACTATCATCCGCAAAGCTGTGTACTGGACATGAAGTTGCTACCAACAAATCATTGATATGGGGTAGAAATAGTGTTGGTGATAGAATTGATCCTTGCGGAACACTAGCATTTATGATGAGAGAGTCAGATCAAACTCCGTCAACCAATAATTCGTATAGACGAACAAAATCGCAAATGTCTCCTTCCTAAACGCCGAGCTGCATTTAAGTTGTTCGGGAACGTATGACTACCTGCAGACCGGTTTCGAGCTTTCGGCTCTCATCATCGCAGGGTTGTCCCAGATAGCATTCATGACCGCTATCTGGTTCGAACCTGACCCAACGTAACCGCATCCCAGCATTTAGTATTGAGCTTCGCGTATTTGATTAACATTTCATTCCACTTTGAGCATATTAGCTTCTTCTTAGTTGAAATCCTGCCAGTCGGGCAACCAGCCACACCCATTTCATGGGAATTTGTTTTGGAGTGTTCTTTATTCATTCTGCTCAGATGGCGTTCGTGTACTTCTCGCGGATGGACGAACGCCTCGTGGGTATTAAATGCTGAGAGGTGTTTACGTTTTACGTTGGGTCAGGTTCGCACTAGATAGCGGTCATGAATGCTATCTGAGACAACCCTGCACTGATGAGAGCCAAAATCTCGAAACTGGTCTGAATCACTGAAGCGCAACTCGGCGTTTAGGAAGGAAACACTTGCGATTTTATTCGTCTATACGAATTTTTGCATAGATTTTGGAAGGATAAAATTCAATGTTCTTATCTACAAATTATTTATGACATTTGTGGAAATGAATTTGAGCTATTATTGTCATCAGGGTAGGATTTAAAGTAGTCATGTTACGAATTTTGATTAATGTCCATCAGTTGGTTTTCTGAAGAACCTGTTTCTATCTTCAAACATTGGCATATGGATTTAAACCACCAGCTTATTACTTTTCTTCTTCATCCAGATTATTCGTTGCTTAAATTGAGTGTGTTGTACGACATATTTCAAGGTTAACAACGAAAAGATGTGCTGACTGCTTAAACAATATACTATTCTACAACCAAAATAAATCTGTCTAGATAATGAAAGTAATGTTATTGCCTCTGTTCAGGTAGTACGATAGCAAATTATTCACAGTCAAAAAACCAAAATCTTCAATCCCACGTGATGAGCTTCCTAACTCACTATTGAACAACTTTCATTATTTTCCACAGTGATTACAGAAGTAGCAACGTGGGACCTAGTGACTCGGATCATAGCAGGAGAGATTCCGAATCGACAGCAGTGAATTTACCAAGATTAGGTGTCATTCCTGCGAATGATTCAGAGAGTGGGGGTAGTCTTACTCCTTCTCCAAGAGCAACTCGTCGTCGTCAGGTGAAAAAATGAGATATTGCTATTTCTTAACAAACAATATGTTCATCAAGCATATTATATGATAATGGAGTCGTAAAAAATACAAACGAGATACTCAATGTCGCTTCAAATTGAAAATTATGAAACAGTCGAATCTCATTGACTGTTTTTCCACATGTGAAATCGAACATTTAAATGTTATCAATCAACAGCAATGATTCCTCACTTCGAAAAAATGTATGACAAGTATACAGGGTGGTCCAGGGTTAACGTCATTAGTTTTGATAGACGATGAAACAACGGAAAAGAAGTAAACTTTCATAAAAGAAAGTTTGGTTGAAAATGCTTCCTAACAAAGATACAGGGTTTCAAAGTTTTGGGCGAAAATTGGATTTCTCATCATAACCTCTGCAAACCACTGAACCGATTTCGATCGAATTTCACACGCAGACTAATGTATTACATCTATGAGCATCTGTCTTCTGATCTTCGGTGTCACTGAATATTCCACAGAAAACATCAATTTTTGGATTCCTTGTTCAATTCAAAGAATGCAAATTTTTCATTTATCTCCTTTCGTTTCTGAGATACTCATTCGAATTCGAAGGGTTGCAAAAAGGCTAAAACTTATGAGGTTTCATATATGCTGTGAAATAATGGCTCTCAATAAACTTTGTGAAGTACACCTTACATTATTGATTATGATGATTTTAAACCTAACGCGGCCCGTAGAGAACTCAATCGAGGTGTCAAAACTCTGACAGCCTGTATCTTTGTTAGGGAGCATTTCTGAACAAAATTCTTTCATGAAAGTCTACTTTCATGTTCTATGTCCTATCAAAATTAATGACGGTTAACCAGGACCACCCTGATGTATAACGAGAAGAAATTATTGTTTCGATTGTCGTTATACACCATCATCATTTCAAAAAATGACAATTGATCAAATAAAAACACGTGACTATTTCTCTTATTATTTTCAGCGGATCAGGAATCTTTCACTTACATCTCTATGCATTCTCTCCCACCATCCGTTCTTTTCCATGTTCAGGGAATGCTTGTTCATACTGAAGAAACTTATAGACGCCTGCAATGAATCATCTAATCCTAGAAGAGTTGGTGGTTCCAAACAGTCATCTAGGTAAGTTACAAGCAAATAAAAAAAAGACCAAGGATGCTATTAATACTTATCCAACACGTTTTGAGGCGTGAATACGAGAGTACATACAACAGTGTCCCAGTGAACCATACTTTATTGTTTAGGCTCTAGAAAAAGAGAGAATAGGCAAAGAACTTTGGTTCATCACATCCTTCACAAAAATATTCAACATGTTCCTAGAATCTCGTCCCGCAAAATCTTGTCGATACACAAAACAAAGCGTTTCCAACCGTACATGTATATTATCTTAGGGTAATTTGAAGAAATTATATATACAGGATGGCATTGAGGCAAAAGGTGCAAATATTTCAAACACTGAGAAAGCTCGACGTGTACTATCGAATGGTACTAATACAAAAATGTAAGGATCAAAATTAAATTTGAGGTTATACCCCTGTTTCCACCCAAAGTTCTACACTGACGTCACCTCTGTTCAAATTTCACCTCCATTGTCTCAATACTACTATTTCTTCTCGTCACTTCATGTACATATGATTTGAGATTTGAGGGAATCATTTTTTGTTTCTTATATAGATCTACTTCTTTCCTTTTCTTGAGCCACGACAACTTATAACTAATATTTATTTTTGTAATCTATGCTACTCTATTATTGGGTTTCTGATCTGGCCATAACTTGAATAAATGAATAAATAAACAAATTTTAATTCATAGAAGCTAGATGGTCATTTTAACACAGTTGTTCAGGACTGTTATTCAGGATTCGACAAATGTGGGATAAACTTAGGAATACAAATGCAACAAACGAATGCAAAACATTTTTTTTGTGCATCGGGTATCATCTTTTTCCATCATTATTTTCAGAGATAATGTTTGGAGTGTGCTGACTGGGAATGCCACTGACTCTACCTCTTCAATTGTTCTACACGACGTGAAAGAAATTGAGACTTGGATACTCAAACTACTATCGTCACCAGTGCCAATACCAGGAAAAACGAAGTGAGTTACTTTCAGTCCTAAAAAAGGTAGAAGGGGTAATTTTCGTTACTGATTCTGTAGATTTCAGTTCAGTTCAAGGTAGACCAATTGATTTATTTTTTTTATTCACGGTGCCACTAAAAGGGTAGACACATGGATGGGGGTTATTAGATTATTATTTATTTATATAATACCTATAACATGTAATTTTTCATTGCTTGATTTCATGTTAGTATTTTACGACGCTGAAAAACTGTTTTTTTTCACGAATATTTGACTAATTTACTGTTGCAACTGTAAATTAGGTAGAGAAAACTTTTTTGAATATCTCCTACTGTAAATTTATTAGGAGATATTTGAAAAAGTTTATTCTGCCTAATTTACAGTTGCAACTGTGAATTAGCACCAATTTAAAGTTGCAACTGTAGATTAAGTGAACGTTCTTAAAAAAAGTTGTTTTAGTATATGATATTTCAGACGCGTCGTACAAGAAAGGAAAATTCTTGAAAGCTCGACATAATGACATAAAACAAAGAATTTATATATAACATATATCTGTACTGTACTTTCCATTATTATCACATGAAAAATTATCTATAGAGGGTATTTGGTACTGGAACGTTGAATAGCATTAAAACAATGGACTCGGGGCTTGAACCAGGTCTGAATGGTTTCAAGCAAATTATCAATGTTGAAGTTGTGTGGAAATTTTCCGATGAATGATAACTGTTTTGATTTGTTTCCTGAAATTAAGAATTCGAGATGGTTTGATAGCGAAACGCGGTTTAATTGAATAAGAAATAATCTTCATCGCAACTACTGATGGATTTCAGTACCAAATACCTACTAGACTGTGAGTAACTAACCGATTCATTTTTCATTTTTGTTTCAGAGTTGAGGTTGAAGTACTGTCACCTAGTGTATACGATCCTCTCGTGTTTGCCTTACCAAGCCATACTAGGTTTAGTTTAGTTGATTTTCCGTTACATCTACCTCTAGAGTTACTTGGTAAGCTGCTATTTTCCTGCTTGTGAAATATTATTTGCTTCTATATTTTTCACTAGAACAGGTGTTGGACTTCTCAGTCTTGAATATCAAACATCAACTTTCAAACATTGGAGGAACTGTTTCACATGAATCATTTTTTCACGTAATATACAATAGCATAAGGCTCGTTCTCAATACCCCTAGTATGCCATAATTTTCAATGATTTCTCCTAAATATTCTCAGACTGTTCGACAAATTATAGCATCTTCCACAGAAAGTGCTAATTCTTGTTTAAATCCTTTGTACATACATATATTGAATGAGAACCATTTTCATTGACCCTTCGTTGAGGGGCTGTAGCTCCCTATGGAATTTCCGACCCAAGTTGAAAGTTTTTCTCATTTTGAAAAGTTCTCATTTCAATTCCTTGATACTTTCCCATTTCACCATTTCACCTAACATGGACTCCAAGTGTGATATAATAATTTTCACAAGAGCAGGGTCGATTGAATTATAAGCTATGAAATGGAAATGAAATCATGCTCATACAACATGAATATATAATTGTTCTGTGCGCTGCTTTATAATTGAATTCCCTCTCTTCGTTAATTATTATTGCTACTGCGTCAACTGCAAATTCAGCATCTAGATATAGAGAATAATATCGATAGTCAGATGATTTGCTCTTTTGATAATGGAACGATGGAAAATTACATTGAATTCAGCAATTTTTTCATTTCTTATCATAATTTATTTCATGGCCAGCTTTGACTACAGAAAGATACTAACCTATACTAAAACATTTAGATGTTTCTTTATAATACTCATAATATATTAGATCTCGAATCAATGTTTGTGGAGCCATCAAACCTGGTATACCTTATTCTTCTTCTTCTGAACCGATCTTAGCTAGCCTGTCTGCATCCTCGTGCTCCGGGATACCAGAGTGTTCTCTGGGACCGACATGAGGCTCACTTTCCGAGTTTTTGCCATATTTTCCAAGGCCTTTCTACACTCGGACATAAATTTAGTTGTGATTTTATTGGATCTCAATGCTATTATAGCAGCTTTGCTGTCCGAGCATATGGTAATTGATCCACGTCCAATTCTGCCGAAATTTTCTTAGACACGTCAGTTTTGCAAACATTTCAGCCTCTAATATTGAGGCGTATTTGCCAAGAGGTACTGAGATTCAGGGTATAACATGGAGTTCTAGTCATGTTGTAGCTATCTAGTGGTAAAGCTCTAAGGTAGGATCAAGAGATCGCGACACACACTGTATGGCGCTGCCATCTATAGTCACACGTACAGACCCTTACGTCTATACGCTACAGGGTGGTACTACAAGTAAACCACTCTGCTGACAGATGGCACAACCTGACATATACTTGAGTGGATTTTTCCACCGACCTATTCAACTGCTAGATCTTATAACTAAGAGATCAAGGATGAACAGAGTTGCCCGAATTGTCATGTTATACTCTGCGTCTTCGAAATGGGTGAAATCCCGGAGCGTAGAGTTGTCCCAGTTGGCAGCAGACCGAGAGCGGCTGATGAGACCTGGTGGGTCGAAACAGTACTGTCTTCGAAATTGGCAGAGTTCTGTTCTATTCCATCAGCAGCATGGAACAGCTTTCTTCTGCCTTATTTCTTATCAGGTGCTATACCTATACTCTTTCCAAAGTCGATTGGGGCAGCCCCAGCAAAAGACATGCGCCATGCTCCGTTAGGCCCCTTTGAAGTATGTACAAAGGAACTGGTTACACGTGGCAGACACTGCTTGCTGAATTCGCTCCAACTAACATATTTATAATATTATCACTATATTATCTCTTGTTTTCAGGGGTGGAAACGTGTTTGAAAGTGTTAACGATAATACTGCTGGAAAATAAGATTGTATTCCAATCGAGAGACTACAATGCTTTGTCAATGTCTGTGATTGCTTTTGTAACTATGATATATCCATTAGAGTATATGTTTCCGGTAATTCCCTTACTACCTACGTGTATGAACTGTGCGGAACAGGTGAGATTTTTTTCTAAGAACCTTCATCGATGAAAATGATCATGTTATTTTTCAGCTCCTACTTGCCCCAACGCCTTTTGTTATTGGTCTTCCGGCTAGTTTTTTATTATATAAGAAAAACTTCAGGTGAGAAAATTTGATTCACGAAAAATAATGTGGAGAGTATCCGAATGGAACAGATATGAGTGTTATTCAATGTTTCTTTTATAACTTGCTTCAAGGTTACCTGACGATGTCTGGCTGGTTGATTTGGACTCAAATAAACTAATATCTCCTCAAGAGATTCCTCCTCTGCCGGAGCCCGAAGGAACTATACTCAAAAATCACTTGAAGCAGGTGAGCAATTTTCCAAATGAATATCTACCCTCTCTCTCTTTCTTTCGATATATTTTCATCTCAATATGCTTTCTCAATAAAAGGCAATGCAACTCATGGATCAAGTTGGCACTGGAGTAAATATCTATAATGTTTTAGCACAGTGTAGATTAGAAATTGAAGAACAGCATAGATTTTTACACATTGGCATGTGTCCAGGGTCGGACTGAACTGATTTCAGGAAGAGCTTCCCAACATCTCTTCACATTCCAGAAATTGTATTCCTTAATGAATCAAAGAATCCATAAAGATGTGAACACAGCATTTTTGTTATAGTATCTACTAGCAGGTCTCAACTTCGTGCATAGATCTTATACATAATACTAGGTACTCCTAGAATAAAAAATGTTCCTAAATCAGTCGATGCCTGATTAACAGATTTTATTTATTTATTTCTGGTTCAGTCCGAACCTGCATTCAAGAGTATATTCATAGACTCTCACTATTTGAATTGCATCAAGCTGAATTGTATAGTTTTAGTTTATTATGTTGAGGTGGTCCGAAGTATGGTGATCCTTTTCAAGAATCTCAGAAGTTAAATGTGAGATATGGAGACAGAAAATATTATTCAAATTATATTTCACATTTAGCATGATTATAAACATGTTCATTATTGGCATACATGAAGCATGTTTCATGAATATGATCGTTGATACCTTTTCCCACTTCCATGAGAGCACCTGAACTCACCCAAGGTCAAAGTTTGGATTCTGGAAATGACTCAGTATCGGCTCATACTCACTACTAATATGAAAACTGATTCACCCCGTACTAACTGGGTGCTTATCAATTATATATATATATTTTTTTGAACGATCATTTCTTAGAGACAACCATGTCACACAAAATTATCGCATGATTTATTGGTGTTCAGCAAAATCAATCTTCATAACGAAATATGTAGAGATTCTATAAAGAAAATTTGATATGAAAATGAATATTTGGACAGTAAAGTGAAAAATAAATATCTATGTAAATTCTACTCTATAGCTTAGACCCTCATATATATGCTATTTTGTATAGGTTGGAGTGCTATCTCACACCACATATCTATAGAAATATACCCGGGCAGTATTCAAGAGGTTATCTGTATACACCTAACTTCTGATCAGCTCACTTCGCATGTTAATCTTGGCATTATTGATAATGGTAGTTGGATCTATGCTCGAAGTATCCTAGAGGCTTGCTCATTTCAGTTTGTTCTAGTGGCTTATCAAGATTGTAAGGTTTTTTCATTGTAAAAGAGGATGATCTTGATTAAGTTATTGAGTACTCAGCACAAAAGTCTCAACCTTAACAATTCTAATGATCTTGAATTCGATTTCTGAGACAGGCTTAAAACTATTTTCGAGGAATCAAGTTCTATGTCATGTCAAGAATACATAACATATAGTAGTAACTAGTAGATCACATAGGCTTTTAGGTGTAGTTAGATTAGTTTAGATTGAATTATTTGAAAACGTAATCAATTTGAAATATTCCAGAATGGGATATCCTGAGTGTCGTGTCAATATTGAAGATCATTCTTGATCATTTTTACTTATGGCATTTCTTCTTGATATTCGCAGGCTGTTGGCAATTTAACAACCCCTAGTGCAACTTCACAGCAACTTCAGCCTTCTAGAAGAGAAAGCCTTGCATCACCGAATACTCTCAGGTAACTTCCAAATCAAGCTATATATTCTTGTAATGAAAAGAAACTTCCCACTATTGAATGCCTACTTAGTACTTGTTACCCCATTGATCGAAAACTTTGAAAATTATGACCAAACTTTCCCAAGGTCACCCAATGCAAATGTTAATGTTCTCTGTAGAAGTTCCATTGGGAATTCAGTTGGATCTACTACTGAATATGTTCACGACAATTTATTTGTTTGAGGAAGCTGTGTTGGTGGAGTATTTGTTCTCTTATCAATTTCTCAGAACTAACAACTCAATCCAGAGGGGAGGATTCAGTTTGAACAGAAATTATTTGTGGCTATCTTGCCATGCCAGAATTCATAGTTACTTAGTCTTTGTATCGAACATTTTACTTTTCAGCGTTTCTAAAAGTAGGTCACCAGAGATGGATGTGTCTCCCAATCTTTCACCTGTGCTGGGTAACGTTCAGCAAAGATTATCATTGACGCCGCAAGTACCTTACATGCCTCCACCAAGGCTGCCAACCAATCAGCCTGGATTCAATCCGTTCATCTACGGAAATGACATTGATTCGGTGGATGTAGCTACTAGAGTTGCCATGGTGAGTTTTTGCAACATTCGTATTTCCTCGATGATTACAAAAAATTGAAATCGTTGTGCCCAACTACTGGGGTCATCACAAGGTTACTTTCTCATGCTCATAGGGTGTTGTAGATATTGACTCCATATAGTTATGGATACATATATTCAAACATCTTATTGTCAGGCAGAGGAGCAGTCGCTGATAGTTCAAAATTGCTCACAATTTCCAAGACTCATTGGAAAAAATTTTCAATTGAAAGCATGGAGATCAAACATTGTATTGGAGTGATTAAGAGTCTCCTCGAGGCGAAATAATCTGACTGCTGAATCTTACTGACATGTACTGACTAAAATTTGGTCATTTTGAGCAGAATCCATTAGATTCACGTTTGGTTGATTTGTTATCAAATAAAAATTAATCTCGAAAATCAATTAAGAAGATTTCGATGTTTTCTGCATCACAGTTCGATGGAATTTTGGCATATTTCATCTTACAATAAGAATTAATTTGATTCGATCTTTTACTTTGAGATTACTTCGTTTATGAATTCCCTGTACCCTCTTTTCTTTCGTCACAGGGCCTCCCAATCCCTCAACAAGTTCCTGTCCTAACTCAAAACGACCTGCTACTCTCTGAATTTTTTCTTTTTTCTTTTTTCTTTTTTCTTTTTTCTTTTTTCTTTTTTCTTTTTTCTTTTTTCTTTTTTCTTTTTTCTTTTTTCTTTTTTCTTTTTTCTTTTTTCTTTCTTCTTTTTTCTTTTTTCTTTTTTCTTTTTTCTTTTTTCTTTTTTTTTAATTGAGCTGGTTGAAATCCTTTATGGACATCATATGGGTCTAATCCCCTATTTGATAGTGTGAGAGTTTCTCGACTCCAGGGTATACCCACTATGCACTTCACCCCGTTTGTAGGCTCATCTGACCGATGTCTCCTACGACACTTAGGCCTAGTGGCCCTTTGTATCTCAAGTAAATGCTGTTATCAATTTCACCATATACGACTCATGGTTCTTATTGAGGGTGACTTCTATATGAAATGCTATTTTCGTTCAGGTTCCTGAAGACTACTCTTCCTCTCGTCTACGAAGAAGGCCAAAAGTTTTTCTTCTCCTACGAATGACAGAGGAAGGGGGAAGAGGTTGGTCTAGCCCTGTGCTGCTTCTTGCACAATGACAGGACTAAGACTGTTCACTTTGAGATTTATATCTGTTTCCCAGAAGCTCCGTTAGCGACACCAAACCTCGGTGCCATTCATCCATCGCCACGGGTTCCCACCGCTTGGATTAGATTGTCAGAGCCTCGTTGACCAGTCCTTGGCCACATAGACAGATATCTATAAATCACCCCATACTTGCCACTCATGTCCAAAAATTATTGGCCCATCTGGCCTAAAGATATTAAAGATGTTCCCAAAATGCTTCATCTGTCGAGCGGTCGTGGTCTGTCCTCCCAACACCACTTAATGGTAAGGTTGGGCTTGGAGGAGAAGAGGGGTTGGTCAATGAGGACCAATAGGATAGATTGAAAAATAAAAAGAGACGAAGATTTCACCCAAGACAAGTTGAAGTATTAGTCTAGGATACCTCGGGCTCACTATTCTAGTATTCACAAGTCGTGAGCCCTTGAGGGGCCCTAGGTGCATGCATTCTCGTGTAATAATTAATTTTGTTGAGTCCACCCATTAACTCTATCACACTCATGCTGAACTTCTGCTCGGGCGTAATAGGTCACTATTCACACGAGATATGCAATATAACATATTTCTCAATGGTGGATTCCTTTCAGGTACGTTTTTTCAACTCGCAGAACCTCCTGGCCAACTTTACCGAGCACACGCGAACTCTTCGGCTCTACCCGCGCCCTGTGGTCGCCTTCCAGATCAACAGCTTCCTCAGGTCCCGGCCCAGGGCCTCCCAGTTCCTCAACAAATTCGCCCGTACGCAGGCGGTGGAGTTCCTCGCCGAGTGGTCGCTCACCCCTACCAACGTCGCTTTCCAGAGGGTGCATACAGGGGTGTTCGACCCCGCCCTGATTGGCGATAAGGCCAAGTGGTTCGTGCATACGTTGGAGCCCATAAAGTTCGTGGTGTGGGACGATGGAAGTTCGTTGAACGGGGCGCTGCGGAGCGTTCACACCACGGAAAACCAACCGACCGACGAGAGTGGCTCGGATTCCGAAGAAGCTGATAGCACTAGTTCTAGCTACTCGTCGCTGAGTGATTTCGTCTCGGAGATGGCTTCTTCCGATCTGTCGCCCGGGTATTCTTCGTACCAGGAGCAGAGGAAGGCTTCAGCGCTGAACATGTCGTTCTCTTCTAGTATCGATGTCGGCACGGTATGTACGAAGCTTCATATGCCGAAAAGCTAATTATATCTATGAAGAATCAACGTTACGTTTTTCACAGGTATATAAACCTCCTTCTGAGCTACAGTATCCTGGAGGTGAGGTTCCACAAGCCAGGTCGGAGTCGCCGCAGTCATCGTCATCTAGTGATTCTGATCTCAGTTCACCGTCGTTCAACAGGTGAGAACGTTCATTTGGAACGGTTCTTCGGAGATTTCCGTGTATTTAATTATCGAAAGTGGTTGCACATGTCATCTTTTTTTATGTTTGATGTAAAAAAGCTATATGATTCAGTATATAAAGGGGTACCTGTTAGAATCAAGCAACAAATTTAACTGAGCATTATTCTGAATACTTACTAATCTTTTATGAGTATTTTTTTTGTTTATCATGGCATCGATACTGATCGGAGATTCATGTCCCTGATAAATTAATGGAAATCTATTGACTGTTCAACTGCGTTTTCAAAAAAAAAAATAGTTGAGTAACATTTCTAGTTCAAATGGCTCTGAGCTGAAGATTTCTTCTTGTTTCAACAGTGTATATCTGTGAAATATTTGGTAGGAAGATGAATTACACAAAAATCAATGAAGCTGAAGATAATTTGACGAAATTGGTTTCTCACTGTTCAATTCGTTACCATGTATGTATGTGTAGATAAGGGGGATGTGTACACTGCGATCCATGTAATCTATTGTGTCCCCTCTTCCTGATATGCGTCCTCTAGGACTTCCTGATTATAATTGTACTTGTAATCCTATTCCCTTCAGAAAGTTGGGGATATAGGATGGTTCAGATTTCATATGAGTCTTGACAGATCGCCTTGACGTTGCAAAGAACTACACAGTTCGGGAGTATGTAGATGGAGGTTTCATCCTCCTCCTCACAGGATCTGCACTCTGCTTCCTCTACTACCCAGAGTGTCTTCAGATGTCCTCTCCATCGACAGTCTCCTGATAGGACTTCTGTTAGTATTCGGATCCTATTTTTACTTAGGTCGATGCATTTGGTAGATCTTTTCTGGTTGTAGGTTCCCAGGAGGTGTCTTCGCTTTTCTAATACCTTGTAGATCCTGTTAGTATTGGGCTTTCTTAAGATTCATTACGGTAGTCACATGCAAGTGTTATATCTTGCGTGGAACAGAAATCATTAGTGGTTATATTATTTGGGTCATGATATACTTTTTCATAATCCTGAAATGATACAGAATTAGAAGATCTGTTTCTCTACTCTATATCGGAGAAAAGTATATAATCTAATAAATCTAAAACTAGTTCGAATTCCTAGAACGAAACGAAACAAGTATCATCGCTTCCAATGTTTACGAAATGATAAGTGGGACTATGTTCTACACCTATGAGTAATAGGTGTCTACGCAACCTGCTGTGTGTGCTGTCTTTGCCTTGTCGAAGGCCCCCACTATGTCGATCGAAGAACACCCCCAACGTTACCTCTTTAAAATTCTAATTTCGTTTCGATCCGTCGCACTACAGCATGGAGGGACATTTCAGTCGACATCCCCTTTCGGTATGCATGTTGGTTTCTGTGAAGGGGTTTGCAATCAGGGGCCCCTCTAACAGAAACCTGTCCACCACTCTCTTCAGCGTTTCGAATAACCAAAATAGGATACCAATGAATAAAAATGTTGTTACGATTGAACGACCGAATGATTTATGTGATCATCATTTTGAAATTTATTTATTTATTATTTTACTCAATACGTGGACGTTAAGTACTTCTCTCAAGGGCCTCGTTTTGCTTGTAGGGATTCTGAGCTGGAATTCGTCGGCAGGGCGAAGAACGAGCAGGTCAGCGCCGTCAAGACCGCCTTCGACGAGTCGGGCAGCTTCGAGAACGAGTCTGACTCGAACTCGACCGCCACCCCTAAGACGGTGGTGAGCTCGACCGCTGGCAGGCCGACGTCACCTGGAAGTGAGACGGACAGACCTGGAACTCCACGCAAGGGACGGAGATCCATAACTCCGGTGAGTTAGCTATGATTTATGAGAAAGCAACAAACGCAATGCAATGTGTCATACCGACGAACGAATCCTAGTATGAGTTAGAGTTCCTAAATGTACATGACACTGGCTGTTTTAATGTTTTTGTTCATTTCGGCTACACTCCGAATTCAACTGACAGTACTGAATATGCTGATTCTTCATTCCGAAATCGAAAAGTTCACAGAAAGTGACAGATACTTGTGAGCAGACATACTATTCATTCCCAATATTTCGACTCAATATTCTGCTGGAATTGCTGACTATCAAAAGGTAGTGTGACTTCAGTGAACTGTCATTATTTCAGAGGGGGAAGACATGTCACATTTATTTGAATATTTCCGTTGTTTTTCGAACATTAAGTCTTGTCCTATGTTGCCTCTACGTGGGTGAAAGGTACCTACATTCAGTCGAACGAAAACTGTTTACGAAATACTTAAGTAGCATAGTCACAAGGTAGAACCATCCCTCTATAGCGGATATCCACTTTTTCAGCACTTCTTCATCTTTAGGAAGTGTAAAAATCTAAACATACTTCTTTTCCGAAGCGTAATTGGACACTCTGTCACACAACAATGATTCGGCATCTTGTTATTAGAAACGTTGAAATTACTCATTTTGCTTTCACAAATAAGATATCATATATCATGTTCTCGATTCGAAAATCATTTTTGATGGACTTTAACATACACACAAACACCCTTTCACTTATAACACGGCAACTAGAATATTCCTTACACATTTCACTAGCTGTTAACAATATTTCACATTGATAACACACAATTCACCATTGAGAATTAAACAAATCTATATTTGAAGGAAGAATAAATCTCAAAATCATCTCCACGACATTTAATAGGTGAACAAATATATGTTGCAATCAGCCAAGGTTAATAACGTCCTAAAAATTTCTGGACTTGTAACAGGAATATGGTAATAGATAATATATTACTTACATGACGATGAAAAATGTTGTTTGAAGTTGTTGAATATTATTAAATTTGAATGGCGAACATAGTAACAATATATATGATATTAAAACAGGTATTTTTATTTTGTGAGGGGTCTGTACCCTCTAAGATACCCTGAGGAGGTTTTCATCGAGTGAAAAATCAAAAATTCCACAAAATTTGTAAATGAGTGAGACTAGATGTCACTGAAAAATCGAAAAATCATGAGATCAAACGTCAAACTTCCAAATGACAACATGTCAACAGGACAGGTGACAGGAGAAATGGTGCAATTGAACCATTTTTCAAACAGGCATAGGATAAATACTGTCTGTAGGTTAATCGAGGAGGTGGTATATTCATTATTCCACATTTTTTGGGATTTTCTCTCCTCGTTTCTATAAAATAAAAATATGAATATTATTTCAATATACGTGTAGTAAGGACAAATCAGATGATTTGCCCCAAAATGTCACTGATATTTTTTCTATATACCTTTATTTCTCTCTCCCAAAAATTTTTCAATACAAATTGTCATTGACAAGCTAGTGAATTTTTCTTTTAGGCTCTCCGATAGGAAAATTCTTTAAACGCAGTGACATTTTGGGGCAAATCATCTAATTTGTCCTTACTACACGTATTTGTATATTGAAATAATATTCATATTTTTATTTTATAGAAACGAGGAGAGAAAATCCCAAAAATTTGGAATAATGAATAGGCATAGGATAACATCAAAACTGGTTGAGTGAAAAAATTACATATGAGAAAATTTCAGTTGAGTTAAAAATAAGTTATTAACAATGGAGGAACAAGGGAGAAGGAAGGATCTGCATCTCAAACAAATTTTAGTGAATTGAAAAATTTTATGCAGTCAAAGTTTACCTGTTCATTAACCGAAATGGAATTATTATCCTTCAATGAGGAGAAGATCTCTAGTAAATTTAGTGAACGTCCTTTTTGACAAACGTGTAAAACTTCCAAATTTCCTTCAATATGAAAACTGTGTTGGGAATTCAAAACATGATCAGCAAAGGAGTTATTGTTTGTGTTATATTCATCTAGGTGCCGAATTCTAGATTTCTCAATAAGTTTTTTGTGCTCAGTTATTCTACTAATAATTCTTTTGCCACTTTGACCGATACGACTTCTTCACACGTTCAAATCTATATTGTTGTACCTATTTACATTTCGTATATCGTGTGTGTATGAAATGACCGACAAAGAGACTGTCGGACAGTGTTGCATGACTCCTTACCACGGCTTCTCATAGAACCGGCTTTGGAACTACTCTAAAAAACAACGCAATTCGAAGTCTCCAGGATTCTATTGTTTGCTACCAGGTCCCCCCGATCCCGCCGTCTCTGGTGAAGCAGCCCAGCGTGGGCAACGTGCTAGCGCCTGCACGCAGGTCCAGCATCAGCTCCTCGGGCAACGACAGCCCGCCGCCGCCGGCGTCGTCAAGCAGCAGCGTCTCGGGCGTCGCGCGCCAGAACTCGCAAAGCTCGCTGTTCGAGCAGTTCGCGTCGCAGGCCAAGGAGCTGGTCAGGGAGACGACGCGCCAGACCAGCCAGGACAGCTTGATGGCGCAGATGGACAAGGTACAGGTGGTGGATAGTCTCTGCTGTAGATGCATGCGTGCATAATCGTCTATAAGTGTATTTAAACTCTCGTGGGTACACCCACACAGCACATGACGTCTATTGGACGTCCATTTCATGCAGGTCTATTTCAATTCCAAACGTCCATGGACATCAAAGGACCCCGCACATTAAGTACGGAAAATGGCTTTCGGCTAATTTTTCTGAAAATTTTATATGTTTCAGATATTAGCGTCCTTATTACACAGTACAATTTCCAGATCGATCCAATGGCCAGTTTTCGAGCTACAGGGTGTCAATCATTTGATTTTGGCTGTTTACAATATTTTGCATCGATTTGAATTATGTGTTCTAAGTCGTGATAAATCTTCAGTAGAAATAAACGCTCCACGTCTAATTTCTACCTCATGAATCCCTCTATTCTAATGGATAATAATATCACATACAGGGTATGGCATTCCATCATGACAAGTTAATATTCATTTGAATAGACAAATATTGAAAATATCAGAATCTCGATTTTCACTCAATCACTGAAAACTTGAAAACAAACGGCTAGAATCGACCAATTATTTGACACACTACGGATCTTGATCTTCAAACGAAGGATCCATATGATTTTCTCTGATACAATGTCCGGTTTGCCATAATATGTGGTGATGACAATTTGAAAGCTTGGAATTGATGTAACTCACGTACAAAATGAGATACATATCACGAATGGTTCATAACTGAGTTATAAATCAATTTTAAGCTTTCAAATTGTCAGAGACTGGATAACCCCAGCTCTGATATTGTCTGTTAACCGAAAAAATACATTGTTCAAGCAATATAAACAAGATCCGAACTGTCCAGTGAAGAGGAAAACATTCATTAGATACCGTAACATAGTGAATAGATTGATCAAAACTGCTAAAATTAACTTTTACGAGAATGAAATAGAAAAAAATAAGGAAAATTCAAAAAATCTCTGGAAAGTTGTAAAATCATTTGGGAATATAGAAAGAGAAAACAAAATTAAGGAAATTATTGATAAAGAAAACAAATTGCTTACAGATGACCTACTTATTGCAAGCGCATTTAATGAATATTTTGCAAATGTAGGGGTATCATTAGCGAAAAAAATCAAAACACCGATAACTGAAAAACCTCCACAAACATCGACGCCAAACTCTTTATTTTTACTCCCTCTGAGTGAAAACGAGATCAAAGAAATCTTAAAGAATCTGAAAGTAAAAAAAGCACCGGGCTTTGATGACATAAGAAGCGAACAATTAAAAAATATATCGAACGAAATATCACCATTATTGTGCCACCTCGTGAATTGTGTCTTTGAAACTGGAGTATTTCCGAATGACTGTAAGATTGCTGTTGTTGTACCCATTCACAAAAAAGGCGATAGAAAAGATATAGCAAACTATAGACCTATATCGCTCATATCAGCATTCGCAAAAATAATCGAGAAGGCCATAAAACTCAGATTATCGCACTTTGTGAAAAAATATAATATAATTTCTGAAAAACAATTTGGATTTAAAGAAGGAACATCCACCAACGATGCAATATCATCATTAACTAGCGAAATATATAATTCAATCGACGAAAAAAAGCCAACATTATGCGTCTTCCTGGATCTCGCCAAGGCTTTCGATACTGTGGATCATCTGCAGTTGTTGGAGGCTTTGGAGAATGCAGGTATGCGTGGTAGAACTCTCTCACTTTTCGAAAGCTATTTGAATGCTAGGACACAGATAGTAAGAATCGGAAATGCACTCAGCACTGAAAAGAAAGTGACTTGTGGAGTACCACAAGGCACGGTATTAGGGCCACTATTGTTTTCAATATATGTCAACAACCTTCTTACTTTAAACATCAAAGGGAAAATATATAGTTTCGCAGACGATACTGCGATTCTATATACAGCGCCGACTTGGTCAGATCTGAAATTGAAGACGGAAAGGGATTTGGAGCGAATTATCGATTGGTTCAATCACAAAGTATTAACAGTAAATTTTGAGAAAACAATTTTTTTACCTTTTGCGAGTTATAAATCCTCACTGCCAAACTTCCAGACTCTGGATATTCAAAGCCAGAATGAAATTATCAAAATAAAGAGAGCAAATAGTGTTAAATATCTTGGAGTTACCATAGACCCAAATCTCAAATGGGATAAACATATTAGTAATGTAACTAATACATTGAGAACAATATTGTTCAAATTCAAACAGTTATATAAACTTATAAATATTAGATATTTGAGAGTTGTATATTTTGGTCTCGTCGAATCCCGTTTACAGTACGCAATACTAAGCTGGGGCGGCACATATTATACACATATACAGAAACTAGATATACTACAGAAGAAAATTCTAAAAGTAATGCTTGGAAAACCAATGACCTACTCCTCAAAATGTACATTCACTGATGCAAAAATAATGAATTTGAGAAAATTATACATGTTCAGTATGATCATTTATTTGTATAAAAACAAATATACATTACAGAGAATCAATCATCCCTATCTAACTAGAACAAAATCGAAACACTATGTGACAACAAATGCAGCCGAAAAGTCCATAGGTCAGCAAAATTTTCAATACTTAGCTAATAGGATTTTCAACTATTTACCAGAAACTTATAAAATGTATATTCTTGAAATCAATTCAATCGAATATATCAAGAAAAAATTTAAAGTATACTTACTGGAGCTAGACATTGACATTGTAGCTAGTATCATAGAAATGTAGGAACGTACATAATATATAATTATGGCTCAGGGCATATGCTAGTAGACTCTTTTTTTCCATACATCCCATGACAACCTGCTGAGGTTTTATGGGTTTGGTTGTTTATTTAATACAATATAGATCAAAATGATCGAAATTACTACTTATACTACTCATATACTTTGTCATTTGTTATCTTTTTCATCTTACTTTTATATTAGGAATTTTTTTGTATTCATAAACATATATTACATATATTATTATTATCACTCCGTATATGGCAAACCGGACATTGTTTCAGAGGAAATCATATGAATCCTCATGTTGATGATCAAGATCCATAGTGTGTCAAATAATTGGCCGATTCAAGCCGTTTGTTTTCAAGTGTTCAGTGATTGAGTGAAAATCGAAATGCTGATATTTTCAATATTTATCTATTCCCATAAATATTAACTTGTCATGATGGAATGCAATACCCTGTATGTGATATTATTATCCATTCGAATAGAGGGATTCATGAGGTAGAAATTAGACGTGGAGCGTTTATTTCTACTGAAGATTTATCACGACTTAGAGCACATAATTCAAATCGATGCAAAATATTCTAAACAGTCAAAATCAAATGATTGACACCCTGTAGCTCGAAAACTGGCCATAGGATCGATCTGTCAATTGGACTGTGTAATAAGGACGCTAATATCTGAAACATATCAAATTTTCAGAAAAATTAGCCGAAAGCCATTTTCCGTACTAAATGTGCGGAGTCCTTTACGTACAAACATGGATGCTTCGAATTGTATGTCCAGTGGACGTCTAGCTTATGTCCAAACATCCATGTAAGTAGAATGTACATTAATTGTACAATGTATGTTCCAAACTTAAGGTCCGTTGGACATTCATTTCACGTCACCTCAAGGACTTAACTCTCATGGACGTTTGATCAACATCCTCTGTACGTAGAAAGACGGACGAACATTGAATTATACGATTCGAACTTTCATTAGATGTCCATGTAAAGGCCATTCTAAGTTAAAGTATTCGTAGATCAAGAATGAATGAGTACATAAAGAAATTTTCAAACTAAATATATATTTGAAATAATTTCGAGTCTGAAGGTTTATGGACGTTCAATGAACGTTAGTTATCATTATTCAAATTATTCAAATTATTCAAATGGAAGTGCTGAGATTATTTATTGATATTTGGGTGTTCACAAGTAGATATGGGTGTTTTATGTTGTGTATTACAAAAAGCATGCCAAAATCGAGGTCTGTGTACCAACTTCAAGAGGATTAACAGGCGAACTAACATGAAACACGAAACACAGCATATTGAATCATCACTTTATATCTGGAAAATTCACTCAAACACTACATTATTTACAGCTGAAAACACATGCCAAAGAAAAACTAACAGAAGCAGAAGACAGTCACTTATTTGCACCACTAGATAAGGTCAGTTGTATGTATTTACCAGCAATTCTTTTGTGTTGTCCATTAATTTGAGCTTTAAGGCATTATGGAACATTTTCTGAATGTAAAAATGTGCTGATATTTTCTAGCTTACTTCTCATGCGAAAAAAGCTGCCGAAGAAGCAACAAAAAGCGTGCAGGTAGCAGGAAAAAGTGCAATAGAAGCCAGTAAAACCGCCACCGCCATGAGCAAGAATACTTTCGATGATTTGACGTATGTTGGGAAGACGACACTTGGTGATTTGACGAAAAGTGCCAAAGATGCCGTTTCTAAAAAAGGACTTCTGCGGGTAAGTTGACTATTTCACTCTGTTATCAAATGAACCAATCAGGGGCTCAAGTCAAGTTCGGATTATCGGTGATACGGAACTTGACTCTTGACTCTGATTGGCCTGTCAAGTTCGGTGTTTCCAATGTGACAGGTTGAAGTCAAATATAAGGTATGTAATAACACTGGTGTATGCATTTAAAAATGAGCAGATTACATCCGACTTTATGAATAGCATTACGAAAATTTCATTGCTTATGCGGAAAATAATAGCAATCAAGGTGTAGGTAACTATAACCTACTGCTATTGCAAATATAAGCGGGTGTTCAATTAATCAAGATCGAAGCATTATAACCTAAATAATAAATTTACCATTTAGGATTAGTATCGGAAAATATTTGAGTAACGTTATATCATTGATAATTCGATCAAATATGTACATCGTTCGATGGCAATGTTTCCTGTTTATTAAATTTTATTTCTCCGAATTTCAGATTTTCACCTTTCACTTTGTTTGTGACATAGTCTAATTTGATTCCACTCGTGACTGAAGTAATCTCATATGTCTGTCTTCAAAAATTATCGCGAAAATTTGATCATACTTGTGGTATAATTACTGAATATCATGGGTATATAGTAGGAAATAATAAGAGATGAGTATCGAGTCAAATTTTCTTCAGTAGAGAACGTGATCGAAGACAGTAACTGCACAAAAATTACATGTTTTTAAGGAAACTTATATAAAGTGTTTTCCATTTCCATCAAAGGAAGAGTATTGACAGCAATATTAGAATTCGAGTTTTATGAATTTCATTCTATCTCGAACCAACTCTCAACGGCTTATTGTGTACCCTGTATTCAAATACGCAAAACATCTTGCAATATTTTTTCAAATTTTTCATTGGAGTTGTATTAATGAATAGCAATTGAGTTATGCATTGCATAAGGATAAAGGACCTATACCATTTAGTCCTCTGTATAGTTTAGAGATTCAGAATTGGGATCAATATATGAATTAACCCAACCCAAACATATTATATAAATAGCATTCTAGCGTCACTCATGTATCAAAACAATGAGAAGCATCTAGAAAACGTGAAAAAATGCAAAAAAAGGTGACGAGAGAGTCATGCAATCATCAACAAATTTTTATAGTAATTTTCCTAACAAGTGCGGAAAGTAATTCTTTCCCGCACGAGTTAGGAACAATATTTTTTCTACAAGCGTAGGAAATTGATTGATTCGTTCAATTAATTATTCATTTTTATAGGAACAACTAACAAGGAAAATATATTCTCTATCAACTGATTATTAGTAATAGCTATTGTGAACTTACAATTTGACGCATTATGTATAGGTTCATTGCGGAAGCCAGCAGGCCCATAAGGTGTTTGGTCTCTAAGTTTCAGACACTTCTAGGAAATGAGCCAAAAATACTTTTTCTTTATTCGGTATTTTCATTTCTTTATTGTTGCACCATTCAATAAAACGCGTGTATAGCTTCTCATACCTTTCTTAGGACTTCGTTGGCAATAACGCATCTGTATCGCATCCCTATAGCTGGAAGTTTTTGATCACATCGTGGAAATTCCACTGAATCGAAAATGACAGTAACGCTGTATCTGTCACTTCGACAATAATTACAAACTCATTTGAGGTTTGATTGGCACGACAACAATAATCGTTTCCCATCAGATCAATATAAATCTATAGGGAGATTTTTATAATAATCCATTTTTATTTTTCAATATTTCCTAATTTTCACAATAAATAGTGCAATTTGATGTATGATTCTGAACATACATACTTAATACTGCAACAAACAAACTCAAACTCTCATATTCCATCACCTGCCACTTTTTTTGCGATATTATCATATCTTTGTTTTTTTCAACGTTTCTCTACGTTTTGACCCGTGATGTTTTCGAGGACGTTTTGAGCTATTATATTGAACATGAGTGAGATAAGGGGTTGGGTGGTGCCATGACACAAATCATCTGCCAATTCAACTGGAATACAGGGTCATTCACATAAGAACCGACATAGAGCAGGGGCATGTAGGGGGTCCCAAAATATGGCAATTTAACGTAACTTACCTCTATACCAAGTTGCTTCCCTAAGGAGTTATAGGCTTTGGAAGTGAAGTTATAAATTTTGAAAAAAATCAATATCTCCGTTATTCTTGAACTTGAAGCAATCAAATTTGGTACACTTTGTCGATGTATTTAGGGCGTTACTTGACAGTAACTAGAGTTCAATTGAAATTTGTAAAGGGGGTATACCGGGTGGCGCACCAATAATATTCAACATAATTTTGTTAACCCTCGATGTATTTCAAGAATCTTCGCTTTGTTTTGTGGAAAATTCAATTCTAAAACTTTTATTAGTCTAGTAATTTCTCGAAAAACCTCATCATTTTCATCAAAAACTCGAATAACTGAAAACGCGTGCTCTAGGTGTGTTATTTAAAATCATCGAAAATTCAAAAGTTGGCTATGGAAATAAACGTCAAACTCGACAATGAAGCAAGTAAATTGTTCAAATAAGTATTTTATCGATAAACAATTGTTTGATCTGGTTGTTGTTTAAGTTTTTTGTGTTTATTTTGGTTAGTTGTTAATCCCAGTTTTTCACATTTCAGTATCTGTCCTTACTTTACGTATTTTGTTATGTATCTAAATAATAATTTGCCAGCCAATCTCTACTGATCACAATAAATGACCTACTTTCTTGTTGTACATTTATTTTCATAGCCAACTTTTGAATTTTCGATGATTTCAAATAACACACCTAGAGCGCGCGATTTCAGTTATTCGAGTTTTTGATGAAAATGATGGGGTTTTTCGAAAAATTACTAGACTAAGAAAAGTTTTAGAATTGAATTGCCCACACACAAAGCAAATATTTTTGAAATCCATCAAGGGTTAACAAAATTCTGTTGAATATGAATGGTGCGTCACCCGGTATACCCCCTTTACAAATTTTAATTAAGCTCTAGTTACTGTCAAGTAACTCCCTGAATACATCCACAAAGTGTGCCAACTTTGGTTGCCTTAAGTACAAGAATAACGGAGATATTGATTATTTTCAAAATTCATAACCTCACTTTCAAAGCCTATAACTCCTAAGGGAAGCAACTTGGTATAGAGGTAAGTTGCGTTGAATTGCCATATTTTGGGACCTCCTACATGCCCCTGCTCTATGTCGGTTCTTATGTGAATCACCCTGTATATCATCGACGTGTTTCTTCTCCAGATGGATTCATTCTCTAAATCGGACCCGCCCGTCAACCCGAACACCTCCCTGGTGGCCTCCTCCCACGTCCTCACAGGCGCCAGCAGGGAGTTCTTCTCCAACATCAGCTCCGACATCAACGGCCTGGCCACCAGCACCAGCAACATCTTCTCCGACTTCTTCGGCTCGAAGAAGGAGCAGCAGCGAGCGAGCGAACAAGCCCCGCAAGGGCCGAAGGGCAAGGAGCCGGCGAAGGGCATGTTCGGGCCGTTCCACAGGGGCCCGAAGGGACTGGCCGAGAAGAGTCCCTTGATCAAGCACTCGCCCAGGAAGCAGGACGACCAGTGGAAGCAGGCGGTCGATAAGAACGCGACGAATAACGAGAACCAGGCGTTCTTGAAGGATGTAAGATCACAATCTAATATTCTGCATACATATACATGTCACGTTGCCTACGGAATATATTTACAAAAGTGTCTCTCCTGTTTTGAGGGTATTCTACCATACTCGCATCCAGAGCGATAACAAGTCTTTGTGGTGCCTTCAATAGTATTTATCTTTCAGAGTATTAAACATTCAAGAATTAGATCAATTTTTTCACGATATCAACTCCATGGGGGTATTTTTTGCTATCTTCAGAACTCTATTTCTGTTTTGGCTAAAGACTTAAAAATGTGTACAATTATCCCAGTGCACAAACAATCCAGTGAAAATAATTGTGATAGTTATTGTCCCATATCTCTAATGAATAATATAGCTGAAGTTCTTGAAAAATGTTTAAAAAATAGATTAAATGATTTCTTAGAAAGCAAAAACATTATATATCCCAATCAATTAGGCTTCAGACCTGGAATAGGAACAGAGGAAACTCGATATTTCATGTTACAAATATACAATAATTAAATCGCTTGATGACAACAAAGAAATTGTGGCATGAGGGGTAAGAGTTTGGACTTATAGAGTTAGTTATCGGAAAGAGAACAATTTGCCCAATTACGAGATACTTTCAGCAAAAAAACACATCTTATTTGTGGTGTTCCTCAAGGAACTATTCTAGGTCCAATTCTTTTCCTCATTTATATTTATGACGTATTAAAAACAGATATTGATGGACATATTTTCCCATATGCTGATGATACATTGATAATTGTTAATGGAAATTCTTGGTCACAAGCTATATCTCATGCAGAAAAAGCTACATAGGAATAGTAAAAAATAATCTTGATTTTGACTCGTTAACTCTAAATTTGAATAAAACAAAATTCATGACTTTTTTCTGTTATGATGATTTACAACCAAAATATATAACAGAATTGACAATTCATGATCAGAGTTGCTCTGAAAATGTATCCAAAATACCAGTAATTTGTTCGTGTACTAATAAAATATCTAAAGTGAATACAATCAAATATCTTGGTATATACATTGATCGAAATTTGAAGTGGAATTATCAGTCTCAGAACTAACAAAGAAACTCAGAAGTACCCTTCCAAAATTCCGAGATATTGTTAGTAGACGTTTGATAATCATGTTTCATCACACTCTCTTCCAATCTATATTATCGTATGGAATAATTGGATGGGGTGGTATGTATGAAACTCATCTAAAACCTTTATTATGTACCTACCTATTCAAAAATTTGGTTTGAGAAAATATTCCGTAAATCATTCGATTATCCATCAGCATCATTATCTTTAGGCGTCAATAATCTGTATTAAAAAGAATGCGGCAAGGACCAATAATATCAACCATAGTTATGAATCAAGAAACAAAATCAACAGACAGTATTCAACATCGTACGACTTGGGAAACATAAGCTTACAATCTTAGAAAAACATTCTAGTTTTATTGGATCAGAAATTTATAATAAAATACCATCAAAATTGAAACACCTAAATATCATAATTTTCAAAAAATGAGTTAACAGTTGGCTTATAGAAAATGCGAGAAAATTCGATGATCTTTTTTAATCAACTCTATTTTTCTTCATTTCAATTTATTTGCATTATTGTATGAATTGATTATTTGTTTTCAATTTTAAACCTGAAATACTTCATCTTTTTCACACACAGGTCACTAACCTATGTGACGGATATACAATATGAAATATATATCTATACATATAATTGATATCCGATGACAAAATTTAGATTTCACTTAATTCATTAAATTAATAAATAAAATACCTGAGCTGGTTCCAGCTTGGAATAATGACTATTGGTGGAAGTAATGACCTATAAAAAACAGATGATTATTTAAAGGAAGGAAAGGATGCTCGAAGTCCTTCCTTCCTTTGAGGACTTCACTTCATTATGCGCATTATGGACTTCGAACAAAGTTTTGAATCGACTCGGCCGTTACTTGATGGAAATCCATGGCAAATGTAAAAACTTCACAAACGATAAGATTTCCACGAAACTCTCAAACACACGACATGTTTCGCTAACACAGTAGCTTCGTCAGGTGATATCGTACCAGTATATCACCTGACGAAGCTACTGTGTTCTGTGAAATCTCATCTTCTAACAAAGATTAAATGAATAATTCTCGAATTCACACAGAATTGAACTCGCGCATAACACGTGATTGGCTTGGAAAAATTACCAGTAGTCTGATGGCATGCTTCTGAATTCGTTCTGAAAGATCGCTGGAAAGAAAAAAGACCTATTAGTTGTGAAATAAAAATAAACGAATGGATATTGATAAGAGACTTGGAAAGTATAAAGGTAAAATAAAAAGCGAGGAACTTTGCTGATCACCTCCCAAATCCTCAATCTATGAACAACTTTTTACCATCTCATGATAAATATTAAGACATTTATCACGATAAGCATTGAGAAGGAGAAATAACATCTATTGAAAAAATGTTGATAGGTGGTGACTAGCGTGTTAGATGGCGAAGGTGTCGGATGGCTCAAACTCAACAGGTTGAAGAAGCTCATGGAAGACGAATCTTACCGAAACTTTGTCCTCAGCAAACTGAACAAAACTTTAGATAGAAAAATTGCACCAGATGATCACATAGACGATGTGGTAAGTAACTAGAACCAATTTAGTACATGGAACATTCATATGTGAGTTTCATCGGTTCATCGTTATTGTAATTGTTTCAGTGTATGCCGAAACCTGTTTGGAAGGGTATGCTGAAAGTGATTCAAGCCATTGTCCATGGCTTGGAAGTGACCTACGGAAATTATGGCTTGGGAGGCATGGCGTCAGCTTTTCAACTGTGCGAGATCGCTCATACTCATTATTGGTCGAAGGATATGACTGAATATGGACACGACCTCACTGAGGTATGATTCTATCGAAATAACACCGTCTTATCTCATGACAAATACCTGATCTCTCCCATGTACCTACTGATGAGTTGTGATTACAATATTAAATTATTTTTGCCCTTGTAGAGTTCGAGTCCAAGATCTCCTCAAAGTCCGAGATACTCTTTGCAATCGTCTGACTGGGAAGTGTCAAGGAAATCTTCGCAAACAGGTAAATTTATCGAGCTTTATATTGCCAAATTATTATAAAAATATAGTAGTAGTAGTAGGATATATACATCCTTCGTTGGTACATGTGTACATATTAATTGGTTGTTGACATCGACCATGGCCCTTAAGCCTGAAAGGTTTTTTGATGATGCTTCAAGTTCAGTTTCGACGACTTACTTATAGAAAATCACGCTATAGTGAACAAAACACACACAAAGTTTTTAGGGGTATTTATAGATGAAAAATATAAGCATGTAGAAAACTTATGCAAAAAAATAGCATCTGACTGTTATGCAGTTCGAGTTGTTTCAAATGAACTCAATCAATCCTCAGCCAGAATTGTGTACTTTTCCTTGATTGAGTCCCATTTGAGATATGGAATTGCCTTTTGGGGCTTATGTAGTCAGCAACTACTAAATTCAGTATTCGTTTTGCAAAAAAGGGCTGTCAGATACATTTGTAAGGCAAAATCACAAGATCACTGCAAACCACTTTTCATCAGTCAGAAAATTCTAACTTTACCTTGTATGTTCCTTTTGGAAACCGTGTGTCTAATACACGAAAAGTATTCAAATACAGCAGTAAATAATGACAGACGATACCATACAAGAGGAAGTCGAGATCTACCCCTGCCAATACCAAAATTAGCAATTACAAAATTTTCTTTGATATATGAGAGCAAGAAAATATATAACCACCTCCCAAAGTACTACAGGGAAATAACAAAAAAAAAGTTCAGGAAATCAGTTAAAGAGGTATTTCTGCAAAAAGCCTACTATGACTTGAAAGGAATATCACACTGATGAATTTTAAAGCTTAGTACTTCCGTTGCTTACTTATCTGGATTGCGTTATTTATTTATTTATCTGTAATGTTTGATATATTTTCTGTAATGTTTCATTTATATTTATATTTATATTCGTTTAGGTACACATGTTTTAACTCTATAATGATTTTTCATTATATTTCATATAATTTTATATTTTTAATATTTCTGACTTTATAAAATTACACTAACTTTGTCAATAAGAATTACTTCTTGGACAATAAAGCATGATTGATTGATTGATTGATTGATATTCTATGAATAGGCCTTGTTGCTAACTCCACCGTCCACTTAGGAGCATCACTGTTGATTTGAGTGAAACAGTAAATATCTCAGAACGAAACATTTATAGTTCGTGAATTGAATTATAAATCTTAACTCCGGATGTTAGTAGCGGACTTCATACTTCTATACTATTTAGATTTAGTGTTCAAAGAATATTCGACCACTATCATTATTTTTCTATTATGCAAAAATATGGCATACTTATCATTGATTTTATTCAACTTTTCTTAAAGAGCCTCCAGAAGTTCGTCTGATTGGTGATGAACTACTCGAGAAAGAACAGTCAGCTTCTACAACAGATATGCTCAAAGATATGCTCACACAGAAAAAGAACATACTCTTCAGCAAACTGACATCTTTCGATTCTGATGTAAGTATATTGTTGATATGATATATTATGTAAATTGACTCGGAGATAAACTTGATTTTGATATCACTCCGAGTTGTTTCCCGTCAAATGATATGAGTATAAGTCATGGTATTTCACTTGTTCATCTACCAAATATTCAGCATTCTGTGAGATCGCAATAATGCTCGAATCTTGTCTCGAAATTATCTCCTTTTACATTTCTATTGAGAAATATAAAATTCTTATTGAATAAACAACAACGTTTGGACTTATACTTTGCTCAAGTAGACTCTCGACTGAGATAATGCAGTTTGTTTGTGGGGTAATTCAGTAGCAGTGGCCGACGTGTTGGTAGGACAAAAGAGAATATTACGATGTATGTTCAATATACCCAGGAGAATTGCTTGTTAACCGATTTTTAAGAAATGCAAAAGTCTAACGGTCACTGGTATTTATGTATTTGAAATGTGTATGTTTGTTCTAAGGAATAAGGAAAAGCTCAATTTAAATAGTGACCTTCAGAAGTATCATACTAGGCAGATAAATAGACAACCCAATAATTTGAAGACTATATCGTGAAGATTGACTGTTTCAAAAGCCAACTCAATGAACTCTCGACATCATCATGTTACTGGTACCTTAAAGATTATTCAACTTAAGGATATGCAATAATATTTCACTGTTTTGTTCTCTTGACTATTTCTATATGGTTTCTATAACTATCAAAAGGAAAATGAAATTTATTATTATTATAAATATATCTGTTGGAATAAACTCGGATATCATATTATTACGGCTTCATGGCTTCATTGATATCGATATAAAAATCATCAACTTGTATTTTTTTGTGCCGGAACAACTCTTGAATGTGCTTGCTTTGATGTGACAGGCTGACAACAACGCCCTCGGTTCAGGCGGTAACGTATCGCCCTCTGCCGGCTCGATCACGATGGGGCCCGCCTGCAACCTGAACAGGGGCGGGAATCAGTCTTCCTTTCGGTCCACCGTTTCTGACACCGAAGTCGAAACCTTGCAGGTGAGTCCTCCATGATCGTTTCTATGTGCATATAGTTGCTCGCACGCAGGCCCGAACTGGGACAATCCGGGGCCCTTAGCTGAAACTAGTGAAAGGGCCTTCCCTCGTAAAATTTTCAATGAGTCGGTGCTTCAATCGCGTTTTTTCGCTATTTTGGCTCTTATAAAGCAGAATGAATTCTGCATTCAGCTAGGTTTTTATACGAATACGATACCACAACACTACAAAACACATGCTGTAGAACTGTTAATAAGTACAACGGAGTTTAAATAAGTGCAGTTAGGTATTTTATTCTCATTCACACCAAAAGTATTGATGAATTATGTCAAGATTATCTGGTGATGAGGTTGATGACAAATGTATTTTAGGGATTCGGAAAAAGAAACTAACATTGAAAAAACCTATACAGGGTGAGTCATAACTATTGGGACCATAGGCTAAGGGCGGATTGTTTGGATCAAAATATGGCGATTGGGCCAAACATGACTCAATAAAATATTGCTGTGAAAAGAGATACAGGGCGTTTAAGTTATTTTTTTTTTGTTTTTTGTCGGTTTTCTGCTAATAATTTCACTGTATATGAAATATATTTGAAAAAGTTTTGTGATTTGGTTGCTTTCTGTTTGGATATTAGAGATATATTACAATTCATACCTTCTGGTTGCATCCCGCATTTATTCATTCATAAAATGATTGTGACGAGACATTTCAATCGAAAAAAATGTTACTATAAACTCGCACAAAAATTCATTTTCTGACAAGAAATGCCATTACCAGCAACATTATCTGACAGTTCAGAGCACACTCGATCTTCATGAATGAAATAATATTTGTTATCAACTTCTGAGACTCTGAACTGTTCAATAGCGTTTTTCTCGTAAACGGATGAAAATATCGTGTTCAAACAAGAGTACCAATATTACGTAGAAATGATGTATAGGTCATATTTTTTCAAAGTACATAAAATAATATTTCCTGTATGAAATTATGCCTCTGTGCCAATTTTGATAACAATTGATGAATATACAGTGAAATTATTGGCAAAAAACGAAAATAAAAAGTCAACTTCAACGCCCTGTATCTTTTTCCACAGCAATATTCTATAGAGGCATATCTGGTCCTATTGCCATATTTTGATCCAAACAATCCGCCCTCAGCCTATGTCCCAATAGTTATGACTCACCCTGTATATTTAACAGTTTATACAATAATGTTGCTACACTAGAAAAAAAGGGACATTACTTGACTGAGATGATTCATGCCGGGGGCCTTTCGCGATCGCGGACTTGCGGACCTGGCTAGTTCTGGCCTGCTCACACGATATTTTTTTTCAATTTTTATTCCTAATCTATGCACTGAATTCTGAATGGTTTAGAGGACTCAAAATCACGAATGAAGTCACAGTCTCATTCAAATGGTCAAAGTTACCACTTATAACTACTGTTGAGTCCTCACGTCCGTCACAACCTTTTCGTTTCAGCTCACCATACTGCCCAGCCTTTGGTCGAGCAATTCCTCCCTGAATGCCTGTTTCCTAATTTGGAACGGCCTTCTAATTCTTAATTGCATACGTTCTCGTTATGATAATTTTGTAACCTCTCCATTCCAGTTCACCAAGCTGCTCAAACAGCTCTCCTCCTGCGTATGCTCGAACAAATCGTCCCTGAACGCCAGTTCTCTGTCCTAATTTGAAACAACCTCCGACTTATTCCTAAGTGCATTCGTTCTTGTTATGATAATAGTTTTGCAACCTCTTCGTTACAGTTCACCAAGCTACCCAAACAGGGCGCTCCCAGCGTCTGGCCCAGCGAGTCCTCCCTGAACGCTGGTTTTCTGTCCTGATCTAAAACGGCTTCCTACTTTCTGAAGCTATTCGTACATTACAGACTTTTTTCTGCAGTTCGATTACATGCAATATGAATTGCGGATTTAAAGTGGAAATCACCTTCCTACTGCAGTTTTCCAAGACTTTTTTGACATTTCATCAAATACACAGTTTAGATGAGGTTAGGTGGGGTCTCATCTGTGAAGCTAGATATTTTTTTGTACTGTGGATCGTTCCAAAATGAATATTGAAAAACAAAAAACTGTTCTACTTATAACAGTCACTGCTGTTCTTGCCACTTATATTAAAAGACGTATTGAAAATCGAAGGAATAGAACTTGGTTGAATACAAAAATGGGAAACTTGAGGATCATTAATGAATTCATGAATTGTAATGACTTGAAAGCCTTCAAAAATTACCTGCGTATGGATGAGTCCATATTCAATTAGTTATTGGGGAAAATTGAGTATCGAATAAAGAAAAGTGATACTTTCTTCCGCAACAGTAATTTGCCAAGAGAAAAGTTGATTATAACTTTGAGATATCAGCTACTGGTGAAAGTTTTTTGTTACTGCAATATAACTACAGAATATCCAATAGTGCTATTCCACATTTCGTTCCAATTGTTGGTAAAATCATGAAATAACCAGAAATATGCAAAGTTGCATGTGAATGACCTCGAAAATTAGAATCTTTTCTAATTTTCGTCAAGCCTAAAAGTTGATATTTAAAAAAAGCCAGCAATCGAATGGGGGAGACCACTGTTTTTTTCAAACGACATTATCGTGAACTCTATACTGAAAAACTACCAGTGAATTAATTTTGAATTTTTTCATTCATGCTGAGACGATGAAGAAAATAAATTAAAATGTGTCCATTTCAAAACACACAATTCCTGCGCCATCTGAAATTTTGTCAATTCATCGGTGTGGTGTGACTGGTGCGACGTCTTAGCAAAGAGGTACTATTCTTTGGTCTTAGTCCCAACACGCCTATTGTCCTTGAAATGAGCAATCAAACTGCAACACTGCAGAATAGCAAGGTTCCAGATAGAGATAGCTACAGTTCGGGACTAATACGTCACGGCTCCACCATCATATTTGGCTTTTTGAAATATCCAATGAAATATGCTGATTTCAAAACGATATAGATTCGATTCCCTTTAACTTCAACTCATAATATTGATTGTACATAAAACGTAAATCATGATTCATCGATTGAAAGAGGTTTGCACGGATTTCTTCCCTCAGTGGTCTTCCCCATTGCATGCAATTTCTGGAAAAAGTCTGTAATGTACGAATAGCTAATTTAGTGCATTCATTCTCTGACTGATAACTCTGCAACTTCTTCGTTCTAGTTCACCAAGCTGCCGAAACAGCGCGCATCCAGCGTCTGGTCGAGCAAGTCGTCCCTGAGCGCCAGTTCTCTGTCCTAATTTGGAATAACCTCCGATTTCCTGAGTACATTCGTTCCCGTTTTGATAATTCTGCAACCTGTCCATTCCAGTTCACCAAGCTGCCCAAACAGCGCATCTCCAGCGTCTGCTCGAGCAAATCGTCCCTGAGCACCATTTCTCTGTCCTAATTTGAATCAACCTCCGACTTCCTAAGTGCATTCGTTCTTGTTATGATAATAATTTTGCAACCTCTTCGTTTCAGTTCACCAAGCTACCCAAACAGGGCGCTCCCAGCGTCTGGTCCAGCGAGTCGTCCCTGAACGATGGTTTTCTGTCCTTATCTAAAACGGCTTCCTACTTTCTAAAGCTATTCGTACATTACAGACTTTTTTCTGCAGTTCGATTGCATGCAATATAAGTTGCGGATTAAAAGTGAAAATCGCCTTCATACATTTGAGCCTTCCTACTGCAGTTTTCCAAGACTTTTTTGACATTTCATCAAATACACAGTTTAGATGAGGTTAGGTGGGGTCTCATCTGTGATATTTTTTTGTACTGTGGATCGTTCCAAAATGAATATTGAAAAACAAAAAGCTGTTCTACTTATAACAGTCACTGCTGTTCTTGCCATTTATATTAAAGGACGTATTGAAAATCGAAGGAATAGAACTTGGTTGAATACAAAAATGGGAAACTTGAGGATCATTATAATGAATTCATGCATTGTAATGACTTGAAAGCCTTCAAAAATTACCTGCGTATGGATGAGTCCATATTCAATTAGTTATTGGGGAAAATTGAGTATCGAATAAAAGAAAAGTGATACTTTCTTCCGCAACAGTAATTTGCCAAGAGAAAAGTTGATTATAACTTTGAGATATCAGCTACTGGTGAAAGTTTTTTGTTACTGCAATATAACTACATAGTGCTATTTCATATTTCGTTCCAATTGTTGGTAAAATCATGAAATAACCAGAAATATGCAAAGTTCCATGTGAATGACCTCGAAAATTAGAATCTTTTCTAATTCTCGTCAAGCCTGAAAGTTGCATCAAAACAATCCGACAGGTATGCGCAGTTGATATTTAAAAAAAAACCAGCAATCGAATGGGGGAGACCACTGTTTTTTTCAAACGACATTATCGTGAACTCTATACTGAAAAACTACCAGTGAATCAATTTTGAATTTTTTCATTCATGCTAAGACGATGAAGAAAATAAATTAGAATGTGTCCATTTCAAAACACACAATTCCTGCGCCATTTGAAATTTTGTCAATGCATCGGTATGACTGGTGCGACGTCTTAGTCCCAACACGCCTATTGTCCTAGAAATGACCAATCCCACTGCAACACTGCAGAATGGCAAGGTATCAGAGAGAGATAGCTACAGTTCGGGACTAATGCGTCACGGCTCCACCATCATATTCGGCTTTTTGAAATCGAATGAAATATGCTGATTTCAAAACGATAAAGATTCGATTCCCTTCAACTTGAACTCATAATATTGATTGTACATAAAACGTAAATCATGATTCATCGATTGAAAGAGGTTTGCACGGATTTCTTCCCTCAGTGGTCTACCCCATTGCATGCAATTTCTGGAAAAAGTCTGTAATGTACGAATAGCTCATTTAGTGCATTCATTCTCTGACTGATAACTCTGCAACTTCTCCGTTCTAGTTCACCAAGCTGCCGAAACAGCGCGCCTCCAGCGTGTGGTCGAGCAAGTCGTCCCTGAGCGCCGGCTTCCGCTACCACGGCGGCCATCTTGTCGACACGGCGCCGGCCGCGAGCCCAGAGGCGGCGCGCACGTATCTCTTCGAGGGGCTGTTGGGACGGGAACGGTCGCCGCTGTGGGACCAGATGCAGTTCTGGGAGGACGCGTTCTTGGACGCGGTGTCGCAGGAGCGGGACATGATCGGGATGGATCAAGTGAGAGCACTCTACTGAATAGCACTGACTCATAATTATTATATCATATATTAATTACAACAAATCAGCTCAGCAAATGTATATATCTAAGAAATCTCTTCCAAATGAATTGGAAAAATTATATAATATTCAATAGTGAAATCATTAGATATTCCACAGATATCAAATTTCTTGGTTTAATCATAGATCAAAATTTATCATGGTCGAAACATATTGGAGAGATTTGAAAAAAAATATCACTAATCATAGGAGTACCTTACAGAATTAGACATGACATTTCTTTGAATTATCTAAAACTTATCTATTATTCCTTAATATATTCTAAAATTCAATATTTGATGTCTGTTTGGGAACGGCTACTTTATCAATTATAAAGCCACTCAGAATCCTTCAGAATAAAGTTGTCAAATGTATATATAAATCGGATTATTTGGAACCAACAAGAGACCTTTATTAACCAAATGAAATATTAGATCTTCAATCAATATACAGTGTGACCCATTTAAGATGGAAGCACCCTTATAAAACTTACATTTTTCAACCGATTGGAATGATTTATTTTTGTTAGGTAGATATTCAAAAAGTTTATTAGGACACCAAATATCATAAATAAATCTCCATTTCCAGGGCCAACTAATCTGATTTTTCAAGGTCAAAAATCTAAAAAAATTACTAGCGATTTTTATAGAAAAAATCTGACTACACCACTGGATTTGTAACATTTTCGAATGGGTAACATGTAAATTACGTTGAAATGCGTCAATCAATAAAAAAGTTATAAAGGAATGAAATTTGAAAAATATGCCGTTTAATCAACCCATCAATTTTTATTACTGAACAGATTTCGATGAAACTGTGATCAGTAATATTTCAAGACATCCTGAATCCAGTGGAGTATACAGAATTTTCATAAAATTCCTGAACATGAATTGGTGGGTTGATTAAACGGCATATTTTTCAAATTTCATTCCTTTATAACTTTTTTATTGATTGACGCATTTCAACGTAATTTACATGTTACCCATTTGAAAATGTCACAAATCCAGTGGTGTAGTCAGATTTTTTCTAAAAAAATCGCTGGTAGTTTTTTTAGATTTTTGACCTTGAAAAATCAGATTAGTTGGCCCTGGAAATGGAGATTTATTCATGATATTTGGTGTCCTAATAGACTTTTTGAATATCTACCTAACAAAAAAAAAATCGTTCCAATCGGTTGAAAAATGTAAGTTTTATAAGGGTGCTTTCATCTTAAATGGGTCACACTGTATAAATTCAAAATATTAACATTTTTTTGTTTCTGTCAAGGTGTTTCTTAAGTACGTGTAAAGAATTCTGTAGCATATTGCTGACGTCAAAATAAGAAAAAAAGATCGTATAAACATATGTCCGCAAGTTATTCGTTTTTTAGTGGATTAATTCCAAAATAATCGTGATATTCGAGTATGATATCAAATTTCACCCGAATATCACGATGATCTTGAAATTTATTTCCAAATACAAGAATGAGGATCAACTTTCAACACTCAGAAATGACCAACTTGTGGACATATGTTTATACGAATTTTTCTATTTTTCTTGACGTCAGCAACATGCTCCTTTTTTTGCACGTACTCAAGATGTTGTACACATGTAGCTTTTGTTGACGGTACAACTCATACTACCTCTGGTAACGAAGGGAATTCTCAAGAAAATGCGGAAATATACTTCACACGAAATATCCTGAATTTGAATTCGAACAAAACACAGTGTGCTGAATTCCAGAAAATAAAAACGGATCATTTGCAGAAAAAAAGCTACAGCAGAGACGATCGTTCTCTCATTGCTTGACATTGTTTATGAGTAGCCTGCTCATAATAAAACTAAACACATTTTTTATGAAAATGTTTTATTATCAATATGGTATATTATTATAATATGTTAATACAAAAGGACAGAAGGAATTGAACATGTATGAAGTTGAACATCTAATAATATTGAATGTTATTCGTGGAGGGATCATTATTATTTAATTTTTCGCGATCGATTGTTTGGATACCCTTGCCCTGGGATCAATAACTGGCGTTCACTATTCCCCGATCTGCTATTCAAGCCAATGGTTCTAGCAATAGTGTGTTTTGCTAATATAATTCGAAGAAATATAATATACATTTACTAGCTGATCCAATATATCCATTTACTAGCTGATCCGGCAAAGATTGTTTTGATAAACATTATTTCTAGAAGACATTGTTTTTAGATGAATATTTATCAAGAAACTTTTAGGGACCCCGTGAAATGATGGAACGCTACAAGAGCCTGAGCGACACAGAAAGAAAGAGACTAGAGCACGAGGAAGACAAGTTGCTGGCCACGCAGCTGTACAACCTGACAGCCATTCACGTCATGCTCAACATCAATAAGGAGGAGATCAGGAGGAAGATCCGCCGGCTGCTGGGAAAGAGCCACATAGGCATGGTGTACAGCCAGGAGGTCAACCTGTTGCTGGATCAGATCCAGAATCTGGTAAGTCGTTTTCAAAGCTTGAGATCTTCAATAGACCATTTTACGCTATTTTTACGCTGCCGCTTTTGACAGATTGAATATCATTATTTGTTTCTTATTTATTGGCAACACTAACAATTCTGTCATTTCACAAAATGTTGAAATTTTTTCACGTTCAGTGCTGTCATGTTGAGAAAATTCAAATCCGAAATTTTGAACTCCTGTTGGAATTGGAAAAAGGAAAACAAGGAAAGATCGGTTATAAATGTGATCAACGGATGAGAAGATGAGCAAAAAATTATCATTCCAGGAGTTTCCAAGAAACATTCACGAACGGGAATAGATAAATAATATAGGGATATCGGGCAAAGGTTTGAATGAAATCGGTTGAATACTATAAAGAGTCCACCAAATTAGTTACATGGGAAACAAAATCTGGAATCTCAAGATCCTCCTCAGCCAGGTATTTATACTATTGTTTAATTTTTTTACCACGTTCCTATCATCCATTTTTCAGACAATCAAATTGCAAAGGACGAAACGACAATTGGATGAATAACTAATGATATTCAATTACATGTTTTCGAAACTGGTGTGGATGATACCTTGCGAGAATGTGATTTTGAGATTTTGTGATCTCTAATATACCCTCATATATTTATTATCTGTGAAACTATCAACACCGTTTCTTAACATTTTTGTCCACGAAGCCTTTCATCCTAGAAAGAAATGCGCTGTTGGATCATCATGAGAAAATTAGGAATAATCACATTGACATTTTGCCCAGTGGCAACCTGGTATTTATAATCGATCGTTGGTTTTCATCTCGATGAGAGTACTTCATCAAAACCAGACTTCAATTTTCCAATTTAAGGTGTACTGTAAGAATGCCATTTCATTTTAACATTTTGTGCATGACATTTTGTCAGTGTTGCCAATGAAAGAATATTTGATTTGATATCCCGAATTAGTTCAAACTTGGGCCACATTCTGTGTAAAATGATCTATAAAGCTAACACGTTCGAAAATGAAGAGTAGTGTACCTAAACCGATTCTAGGTCACTTTTTCCTAGAGGGAGCTAGAAACGGTACAGGTACACTACTACAAATATTCGTTGAGGTTTTCGAAATAATGAGTTTATTTGTTCACAGAATGGCAATGATATCGATCTGAAACCTCTTGGCTCTCGACTTTTACATAGGCAAAGTTTCACTGTCCATCAAGGAGTGGATTGTACAGGTGAATTGAGGTGAGCATGGTTTAAACAATAGTTTATTAATAATTGGGTTCATATGTTCACTTTGTCACATATAACTACTCATCGTTTTCAACTTTATGAGTTGATCACTACCTCTGATATTCGAAAGTTTTTGCTGTAGTTGTGATTGAATGATACGCCGTTCCTGTTGTGTACTGAAATGACTGAGATTTCAACCACAGATTCTAGGAACAAAAATAGGAGAAAAACTCTATTCAAACATGGGACCAGAAATTCTCTCCTGTGGGGTTATAGCTATCTGAAGGAGATCATGAGATGATTATAAATTGTGAATATTTCCGAAATCCTCTGTGATAAAATACCCACATTTTGTAAAAATTCCTGAATTTTATGCCAAATTTGAAAATAATAAAAATATATTGAATTTTTGATCAGGGGCTTGGAAAAGGGGGGGTAGGTGCACATTTCCTCCCTACTCTATTTTTCATTCATTTCTTGATCACTTTCGATAACATTCACTGATTTCGAGATGAATCGAATTCAAAATTCTGCTTCGTGATGAAAATAATGCTTTTTCCTCAATAGGGTACCTACCGAATTTCCCCAAAAAATATGCTTTCATGAAAAATACTCCCCTAGCATCACCAGTTTTCCACGCCACTGACCAAAATGTCGAAAAATGCTTAACATTTTCAGATTGGGTACATGAAAGAAACTTGTTGGTTATTTCATTACAGAGGGTTTCAAAAATATTTACAAACAACCATCATCTAAGGATCTCCTTCAGATAGCTATAGCTCTGTGGTTGAAATCTTTTTATGTAATTTCGGGACACCCTGTAAACTCCTGATATCTAGTATTAGTATGATTCGAATGCTATACGTGAGAGTGTCTCGTACATATTTTCAAATGTATTACTGATGGTGTTGTGATCTTATGAGGTTTATATAATTTCGGTCCTGGTGACACGTATCTTACATATCTATATCTATAGCTATATCTTCAGGTACACATCTGTGATCACTCATCTCACACATTTTTTTCTAATAACAAAAAATAAATCTGGAAAAACTTATCGTGTTCACCAGGTTCATGGAAGTGAGAGACGACGGCTTGGTTCTGCGATCGGTAACTGGAGTTATAGTAGAAAGATGGTGGTTTGAAAGGCTCGTGAACATGACCTACAGCCCCAAAAATAAGGTGCTATGCTTATGGAGGAGAAATGGTCAACAAACGCAGCTGCATAAGTATTATACCAAAAAGGTAAATCTACACATCATTCATGGCATCAGTTGTGTTTATTACGGATATTCCACTATTCTTTGATCTCCCATTCGAATACATTTCCTTCAATATTCGGTACATCAGTGCGAGTATCCATGTTTCCATAAATTAAGTTAATCAAATCATTAGTTGAAATCGAACTATGAACCTGCAAAACTACCATATAAAATTTGCAATGCTACTTGAAGTCGCGCACACCACGTGATCGTACTTTCACCTACTTTTAACTTGTCAGTTTCTATATAATTTTGCCGGTGCCCTTAGATTTGATTATTCATGATTTTGAAGAAACTATATCTCTTGCTAATTCCACTATTTCGAGTAAACGTGTTGGATACCACTTACGGTCGATTAGATATCGGTATATTATTCACCATGTTTAGGCTAGGATAGAAAAGAACGTAGGTACTGAATATTTCAAGAAATAATAAGTTGAGTGAAACGAAACCGGAGGATTGGAACAGAAAAAAATATTAGTGGTTATAAATGGGATCGCAAAAATCAATGGGAACACCGACCTCGGATTGCTTGTTCTTTTCTCAATTCAATTTTGAATACGCTTCCTATCAAAGTAACTTGTACGCGTGTAGTGATTGGTGTTGGTATCTTGATTATTATTTGTCATGTGATTCAACTAGTCATATAGATTGTGAAAAACTATTGAATTTGATCATAATGTAATCTAACTACGTCTCCATTTAAGTGAATCCGATAAACATAATCTTGCAAGAATATTGATTCCAGCTTACGCCCACATGGGGAAAACACCCCTATGTGGTGACAAGATAGAGGAGTTTTCCCCCTATATCGACACAGTCCAAGTTCTAACCCCTTGGCAGTGATAACATGTTTATGGTATAATGAAATTTTCAGTGTAAGCAATTGTACTATTGCATCAAGGAGGCAATGGAACGTGGCGGTGTTGCCGGTACAGCGCCCGAGTTGGGAGGTGAGTTTCCGGTGCAGGACATGGCAACGGGGGAGGGAGGCCTCCTCCAGGTCTGCATGGAGGGGGTCGGACTGCTATTCGCCAACAGCAAGGTATTTTTCATCAGCTGTGTGTTCAGTTTCGATAATATCATGAAAAATTCGTAGGTGAATCGGTTTCGAATTGGGGTAGTAGAAAGATGTGTTTAATAATGGAGCGATTCTTGCACAATCTCAGTAGTATCGCTTTAGGCCATGATACTTAGCAATAGGTAATGAAGTATATTATGTAACAAGGGTTATAAACGTCCTTTTAGTGACGAGCGCAGCAGAGCAGAGCGAGTGTTCAATAAAGGAGTGTCTAGGAGAATTTATGAACGCGTTACATACTATACTTTTTCTACGAACTCATTATTTACTTTCACAAGATCCCATAGTTCCGAAAATTAGATTAACCTACCTGCGAACCTACAAAATAATTCGAGTTGAATGGGAATTGAGAACAAAAAATATAATAATACAATTAACGAACCACGTATAAGTGATATTAGTTGTAGATGTGTCCAGTCCGAAGGATACATTATATGCATTCTTCCGATTCGCTGAGGTTTGAAAGTTTTCGATTTCTCAGGTTTGTATCCATATTCTGATTGCAAAATTTTTGCTCACATAAATATTGTATTTCACGTTTATTGTCATGTCATATAATAATGTATCTTATATTATGAATTCCATTTCATTAGGGTACGGGAAAAATTGAATGTGCACATCCACCTTAATTTTCAGTTAATATTGACATTTTACTGAAATCTAACAAGGAAATCGTATGAAAACAATCAATTTCATACAAAAATGTATCTGATATTATATATCTTATTTTACTAGGGCACTGAAAAAATAAAAAAAAATCTCCCGCAATACGAACATCCACTTTGATTTGTAGTCAATAAATAAAATTCCTAGATACCTATCGAACAAATTGTATGATATCAATAAATTTTATATAAATATTCATTTGATATACTTTGCCAATTTAAAAAGGGCACGGGAAAAGTGAAAAAAAAACTATACGATACGCATTACACACAGCCTTCTATTTATTTACTCAATGTTCTCTTTATAAATATAATTACGGTAAAACATTTTCTTACCGAATCCCACACATGCATGAATCAATTTTTAAAAAAATTTTTTGTAGTCAACAAATTTCAGGCAATCATTCATGTTCTATGAAGATTATAGGCGAAGATTTCAGATATACTATGACGTGAGAGGAACATTTCAGAACATAAGCGACTAGATGACCGATAATATCAGGAAATTATCTGATTTCATTCGAAACTTCATATATAATGCAATGATATCATAAAATGTGATTTTGATGCAGCTTTAATCTGTCGCTCCATGGAATTAATCTGATATAATTTCTTCTCACGATAATTATCTCTATTATGGACTATTGCGATACTATTGAGAATCTCAAGTTTGCCAATACTCTACCTTTTACTATTCTAACAGCAGTTATTTGGTATACATTGATGTAATGATAGATCACAACGTTTGATGTAGGTATTGTCATTCCATGGAATGCATCTACAACTACTTAAAATCTTGATTTCCACACAATATCTTAGAATTGCTTTTTTCATGGAAGCAGAATCAGAATACACTAGATAAATCAGAGAAAGTGGCAGAAATATGCATATTTTTAAGATCAATGTACACCGAATAATTGATGCCGATATGTTAATCATTATAATTGATTTGGAGATCAGAATATCTAGTTCCTTTCGAATATATTCTGATCTTCAATGGTGGAATAATATATCATTATTTTTTGTCGTTGGTGCGCTGTTGTGCATTTGTTTTGCAAGGACCACTCAAACTTTCCTATTTGCTGTCGCCACTCGCTCGGTTGCAATTTTTCGTCTGCATTGATGGATTTTCGATATTTTCAATTCATATTGATAATTAGAGAATAGTGAATTTATCCGGATCATCTGTATTGCTATGTGTTGTAATTAGTTCATTTTAGGATTATTGTATCTGCAACTTGCAACTATGGAAGTGTTGAAAATTTAAGCATACATATATGTATAGTGATTTCTTTGATGTTTTTCATTGACAAGGATATCACAATTTTCTTCTGTTTTCTGCTTGATGTTGGTGAACTAAACTGATCTTTAGTGTAATGTAAAAATCATAAGAAAAGAATAAGGACACCCCCAAAGGAGAATGTAGCATTTGTTCAGACTACCTCTTCTACCTCAACAATGACTAACTAATAAATTTATAAAATTAATTATCCATCAGCTTAATGGAATCACTAAGGTCAAGTAATATGTATTTTATTTCAATTATGTACTCTTATCATAATCATTTCAACTTCATAAATTCCAGTCTGATAGGGGCGCCATTAGAGTAGGTATAGAATAGCTTCGAATTTCCATCACCGTCATCATTATATATTGAGAAAAAAATACGACACAGTATGAAATGAAACGTTATACCTGTGAACACATACATCCCTGGGATATTGAAATCATGTGGCAAGGCAACAGAGTGAAGTATAATAAAACATCATTGGTTTTGCCAGCGTATTCTTCCCTTCACAAAACATTAGAAAAGAATTTGTGACACCCCTCTAACAATTATTGAGTAACCGGAAGCTCCGGAATAGCATTCATTCTGATTTCAGTAGTACACTCTCAATGTGAAATCATCTGATGATATCTTTGGGATTAATCTGTGTTAACCTGGACTATAATCATATATTTTCGGAAAATGAGGCTTCACAGATCCCCTTTTGAAATTCTGGAATGTCTCAGAAGCACTTATTTTCCAAGACGATAACAGTAAATCATTTCACAGTTTTCATTTTCATTGCAGCTTGAATTAAACCAGTTACTCAACTGATCGATATGTGTATGGAATGAACAATTGGGATATACATTATTTTAGTAACAGTCTTTTGCTAAATACCCAAGTAAACTGTCATCGTAGGTATTGAGACTTGATTTATCACCCCAATTTGCAAAATCTTCAATAATCAACCTTGAATGTTCCACTACGTATATAGTCACAACCTACCACAGGTAGCAGAGTGACGTCAGATTTATAGCATTTTAATGTGAGTTGGCGAATGAAGCTTCACGTTATTGAAGAAAAACTTACAATCGAACTCAAATTCTGTGAAGTAGACGAGGGGAAACTACTGATTCTCCTATCAAACATCTATATGACGTCATAAAATATGACGTCATTTGTAGGTCATATATTGATCTTAGACATGGTACCAAAAAGTGACGAAGAAACAACGTAGAAATGACGTTTTCTCAGGCCATTCTGCTACCTGACCCTATGAGCAAAAATAGAGTCCCATAAATATTTTTGGTGTATAATACATATAAAAAACAGTTAAAGTATTTGTCATGGTCTACTTATACATCTACATCTGATTTTCATCATTCTATACATTCATGAAACATTTATTGGTGTGTAGTTTTCTTTTAGATGTGGCTCATTCATTCATATTATTTTGAAGAGAGAACAAATTCTCTTATTGCTGTCAATTGCATGAGTGTGTAACTCTTCATTAGTTTAGGTTGATAATAAATAGTTTGAGCTACTTACAAATCTGGAAGAGAATTTCCGGCATATGGGAATGAATAAGCCAAACGATCAGTACAAAATATGTATATCAATATAAGCAATGCATAATAATGTATTCAACTGGATCACTCTACATTGATTCTTCCGCACTTCGTAGCCACGTTCTGTCTCTGCTTTTGGCAGGCACTTTCGCCTAGAGACAGGAGCATCAAATATTTTGAAGAAACCGTGCGGAAGCAAGTCTACAGAACATTTCTGGTAGCTCCTGAAAAAGAAAACATCATTGAAATAGCGAACCACTATCGGCCTCAACAGTATAGTCTGGCAACTGAAAGATGACCGCAGGAAAGAATGTGTGCACAGAGCACAATATACAAGTTGAGCTCATCAACTCGCTTTCAATTCAAAAACGAAATCCCAAGCGATCGATACAACTGTTTTGCAGTACCGCTCCGATGACTGAGAGCATTCATCCTTCCTCTTTCGTCCCAGAACTTCTTTGGCGAGTCGAAGTGTGAATGCCTGATTTTTTCGATTGATCAATTGAAAAAAAAAACAATAGGTGGAGTAGGATTCGAACCCGGGACCTTTCAATCCATAACTCTGTAAACTTTGTCCATTGGCACCTTCAAATTCATTTAGTTCATCTTCAACTCATACATGGATAATATCTTATAACAAACAACTGATTATAATGTGTATAAATAAAAATTAAATCTCCGCGCAGTGCGTAGATCCCGTTGTTATCCAGGAGGGTGTTTGTTCTGTGATTAGAGTCCCGACAAAATGCATGCCACCTCCTGAAGCAAGGCTCTTTATGACAATGAATCTCTTAGATGTACCAGAAGTCTTTTTGCCACTCTGGACATGGCGCTCCCAGACCATATATTCATATAGCCACGCCCAGAATCGCTTATGCGATGTCTACAAAATATCGTCCGAGGGATTTCAAAACACATCAGTCGCCTCGTATGCTTTCTATATGTATAGATTCAATGTTCAGCTCTGATGGTGGTGATACTCCTAGTGAAATCACTTACCTGAACATGGAATCTATAATATTTGTTAAATAGTTTTGAGATATGTTATTTGATTGTTGGTTTGTTATGATATTGCTCGTGAAGATGTGCCACACGAAGATATCGATTATTACCTTTGGTGATGGATACGGGGAACTTTGTCCTGCAGAACCTGTAACCTCCCTATTTGAGAAGTCGAGGCACTTCAAAACACCGGACAGGCGTATATCATTACAGGCCTCATAATTTGTTTGTAGATCGAAAGCTTGTTATCTAATGTCAGCGGGTAATTCTCTACCAATAGAAGATACAAGATCTTGATCGCAACCTAGAATTTCGAATAGCTAGAGTGTTGTTTCTGAATGATAGACACGGAGGTTTCCCTATTGACCATCGTACTTCTGACGAACTTATACACAATAAATCTATAGGCTCACCTCGAGCGAGCCGCGCGAAAAGATTTGATTGTCGTCCAGTAATTCAGTTGAATACTTAATTATCCATTGCGGAAATCTGTTATGCTGGCTATTTTTTTCCAGATCTGTATATGTTCAAGATTATTATTTAGTACGAATCACTTCAACAATTCAATAACTATAATTATATGTCCATTCAACAAGTATGACCACATGATGAATCAAGCTTCTTTTGACCTGAATTTCTATTAGTCAAAAGTTGAAACAACTTTCATTAGTTGAAAATCGTATCAGTTTTCTGGGCCAATCATAAATCCATTGACCATTGAGTGTGTAAATGCTTGTATTCAGGTTACCTATTTATTTTCGTATACTATGCTGGTGACCAAATGGAATTGGTACTTATATAATCTTCTAGGGCAATTCTGGCCACATATACCGATACCTATATTTCAGAAATAAGTCCCCTGCCACCCATAACACGTATATTTTTTTCATTATTTTCTTTGGAATGTGATGTTTGAAGAGCATGCTGTAGATTATTTGATATATTTCCATTTTGATTCTGATCTTGAATGCTGAATGTTTCTTCTAACTATAATTTTCTCTCTACATTTTCTATCTGATATTTTATGTTCAGACTGAGTGGTCATGACTGCCGAAAGGCCAATCGGAATAAGGAGCTGTCTTGATTCATTATTACAAGGTGATTCATATCAAAATCGTTAGTTACCTACCTATTATGAAATGTTAGTTGAATATACGTATGCAGAATTCTGTTCTTCTTAGGAACTATATTCCCCAAACTTCAAATTGTACTTATTCATCGGAAGAAACCTCGTTTATGAGCAAATATATTTGTTTATTTTCAATTTTTTTTCGGATTATTAAAAAATAAATAAGTTTCACAAGATGAAGTAAACGACTGTCAATTGATATTGGATCGGATTGGCTCACATGAAAATCATTCAGAATTAACTGAGCATAATTATTTCAAACTCAAAGCTACTGTCTACATACAATGAACCGACAATTTTCAGTGCAAACTTTTGAAATATCTCATGTTCATCTCTCTATTATGTAAATCATTTGTGAACACTGTATATCAGATCTTGATGAAATTTCGTAATAGTGTATTCGAACATGAAATATGAAACATGAAACTCAGATGTAAAAACTCAACAAACGATAAGATTTCCACACAATTCTCAAACACACGACATATTATTTCGCTTTACATTTACCATGGATTTCAATCAAGTAACGGCCGAGACAAAAAAAAGATTCTACTTTTCAATCTCCCTTCTTTTTTTGGTGATAAGTTCCATCTCAGTTGGCCATGAAATGTCGTTTCAAGATTGATTCATGATTAAACCACCAAATAGGTAGTTTGGGAACTAATCAGAATATTATGTATAGCCAGTTTCATTGAAAAATTCCTTCCTGATGATGAATGTACTATACTACTCCTGAATAAGTACTTTCATTATTCTTTGTCATAACAATACAAAACATTCCCAATACCATATACAAACTGATAAAAATATCAAGGAAATTGAGACAAACAAATCATCGAACACTGGAAGTAACTTGAGTTTTCAAAATATTGAGATATAGCAGAACTAGTGCTAACCAACAATTGATGAAACAGTTTTTATTGTAACTCTATGACCCAAGGAAAACCACTTCAATTCTCGAGTTATCAAACTGGATACAAATATAAAAATCACCATGTATAACATCGAGAGAGCTCCCGAAAAATAGCTTGATAGGAACTTTTGAGATGGTCCTTTCTGTCGAAAACGTTACTAATTGTGATTATTTTTCTTCATACGTCCACGTCGATGCTGCTCGCAGGACTTTGAGGTATACAAAATTGGTCTATTACTTTTTTGGTCGTTAGATTTAGTGGATAGTCTCTGTTTAGTTTAGCCGCTTTTCCTGTAGATTTCAGCTAATGCATCCTGAGAGTGTGTTCACAATAATTTTGATCGTGATTCTCCCTCCACAAACCAGTCAAGGTCTTCTTTGGTCCTTGTTAATTCCTCCTTCAAGTCGAACTACCTGATGTGAACGGATCCTCCTACACATTGTAGACACACTTCGAATTTCCAATGTTCGAGTTTTCATCGACATGACCAGATTGTTTGATGACAGTGTGCGTTGATTAATGCTTTGTATGGCAACTAACACAATTTGCACAATAGTTTTGACAGTACTCTAACACAGTATACACCTCATACACCTGTTACTTAGTTATTTTGCCAAGTAGGTTCATGATCAAACCATCTCTAAAGTTGCCTATAGGGCTTTGGCTTTGCTTTTGGCGCATGTTTGATTTCTGCTTTGTGCTTTCCTGCGTTGTTCGAGTAACAAGTGGAAAGAAGATTCCTCAGTTGGATTCGAAGGTGAGAACACACATTATAGAGGAAACCTGAGCACTTCGAATACGGCAATAGATATGCGCAGTTCACATACGGAGATTGACGTGAGGTGACGGAGGTATCAGACAGGGAAGTCTCAACTGCGCATATCGCTTTTCATGTTCATAGTGCTTATGTTTATTGTGAATCATGAATTTGGGTAGTAAGTAGTCCTGATCATTTTTCAATTGCATTAAGTTATCTTCGCCCATTCACTTTTCTGTATTGTCAATAAAAGATTAAATCAGAAGGGGTATCGTTGAACACTATTATAATCATCAGATACTACTTACTATCAGTATTCAAACTTGGTATATCAATGCAATCACATCGAACAATTGAGATCTTCTTTCCACGTATCATTACTTTGATAGCTAGCGATTACTGTCGTTGATGAATAATTTGATGTTTTCCAGTTTTTCGTCAGGATTGCTCATATCAGGAAGTGTTTCACCCAGAAAGGAAACATTTTCGTTATAGAAGAATTCAGTGAGTATACACATTCAGATATATGAGAAACTTAATATTGAAGATATAACCCAGTAATAGTTATTTATATACACCAAGGTAGTAAAGAGTATCAGTATTACCCAGGGACCAAGATTACCGTGGTAATAATATTCTTCATTGCCAAGGAGTATATTGAATTTTTTTCATCACTAGCAATTCATTTCATATACTACCTACATAAATAATACATAGCAATACATCATTCTAGTTCTGTGAAACTGAAATATGGGCGTATTGTCACTGTGAAAGCACTTTTCTTCAATTCTAATGGAAATCTAGTAGTCATGACCAGCATCACAATAGTGTATTTAGGTTGATTGCAACAGATGTGGCTATGTCTTTATTGACTAGTGGTTAATAAAATGGTAAAAACTATCTTGGCAGTAAAATCACACTTTACGCCTTGTAAAGGAGTGAATAATGGTAGCTTGTGGTGGAAAAACTTTATTTCAATGCATCTTAGGTAGACGAATCAATAATTATTATGAACCTAGCTGAACAAGGTTTGATCAACTAAAACTAGCTGGCTCTATCCTTATGCTGCATACTAGGATGGAGTTCAATAAACTAGCTATTCTCTGTGAACTTATATTTGAATTGATCATTTCAGATCCTAAAACACGACATATGATTCAGAGAAGATACAAGTCACCCATGGTAAGATTCTGAATAGTTTTGTCAATTCATATAGGCTATAATTTATGATTTTACAAGAATGTACTGTTGTTGAATTTTGTATGCATAGCCACCCACATATAGTTTAACGTTGATTTATAATGATTCATTATATTCTTTCTCGATTCTCATAAGTGCACGTTGATGTTCATATTTTTTTTATTTTTTATAGGCTACCCACATCTTGCATATTTTACTCAGGATATTTTCCATTTGCATGGCACATCAAATTGTAGACAGTACACTCACCCCTACTGCATGACCCAGCATGGAGTAAGAAGATACATTAGATGAATCACATAGTTAGTTCTGTCGATATTCGTTTCAAACTGAACAACAAAAATCTGAACAATTTGATCTCATGACCAACTAATTCCGATTGTTTTCAATAACTATATAAAGCTACCCAGATCTTGACTTAAAAAAAAAATATAAGAAATTTGGTGGTATGAAGGTCAAATTGGCCAGTGATTGGCATTTGAGCAAGACGAATGCTATCTTCCAGGCGGATCAAATCTGCTACTCAGTGCTGTGCGTGTTCTCCTACGTGGCAGCGGGACACGAAAAAACCCACATCAACGCCCCCAAGAAGCCGCCGTCAGTTCCCGCCTCCCAGCTCCCCTTATCTACGTGCCTCATACCCCCTATTTCCCCAGAAGAACTCCCACCCAGCCCACAGCACTTCGCACCACCCACGTCCAGCCCACAACACTCGGTACTGCCCCCGCCCAACCCACAACACTCGGTACCACCCTCGCCCAACCCACAAACAGTTCCGGTGACGCCAGTGGGCGGTCCTCCAAAGTATCCGCCCCCCGCCTTGCCACCGGGCGTGGCTCCGCCGGCCCCGCCTCCTGGGGCGAGGGTTCTGACCAGTCAGCTGTCGTTGCCGGCCGGGAAACCACCTCCTATTCCCAGTAGGACGGTCTCTCCGAGGCAGTTTTCGGTAACTCAGCCCCCGCAACCGCCCCCTAGGCCGAAGTGACGTCATAGAAGGTATTCGATACCGTTTGTTTATGGAGGGAATTGCAGAGGACCCTCTTGCCTTCCTTGGGTGTGAGCAATGGAGTTAGGGAAATTAATGTACACAATAGAAGAAAGAGAGAATATTTTACTATGTTTTAGGAGATAGAACGTCATGTACACACTTATGCTCAGTTTCTGATGAAATATTGTAGATTCATCGAATGATTCACCAAGAGTTTTCAATTGTCTTCTGGAATTCGTACAGCTTGTCAAACCTATCAGATGAATTTATGACTTATTCTCATACCAAGAAATGGAATGTCAACAAGAAGTGAAATTCGGATGAAACCATTCACATTTTGTTTACCAGATTTCGATCTCATTCCAAGTAGTAGCAGCTACACCGCGGGTGTCCGGGGGATCTTTTCATACAGCCAATATCTCAGTTATGCTGGTTGAACAGAAAACAAAAACTTCTGTTTATCGAAGCCAAATGACTATGAAGTCATTGTGTTAAAGTTAAATTCTTTCAAACTACCTCTGGAAAGCCACCCGAACTTTAATTATTCAAGTTACATGTAACGTATCACAATTCATAATTTGACTGATGTTCAATAAACCATTATAATGTTCTTATAGATTATCATTCATAAGAATCTATTCGCGAGATTCACGAAGTGGGCGACGTCTAGGTTACATAATACGAACTTCAAACTGGGGGAAAACAAACTGTTGTCTATGGATAAAGTGCATATAATACATTGCATACAGCTTGCTGTTGCTGTAGTCAAACTTGTCAATGACATAAAGTGTTGGCACTGTTGGTAGTGATGATGGTTGAGTTGGTTAATTTTTTCACATTATTACATTCTTATTAGTTTTGTGAATAGTGAACGGGTGAAGAATTAGATATAGTTCAAACAATTCAAACTAATTATGACGAGCAAATCAATTAACATATAAAAAACAGCTACAACATGTTGTAGCGAAACTGAGTTAGGGTAGTATCCAACTTTCCAATTTCGTCCTTTTCATTTCTGGTTTTGGGCTTATCATCACCCCACGAGTACTGCACTGGAGCTATTTACTATTTGCCTTGTGGTACCTATGCCAGTTTTTATTTAGAGCGTCGAAAAAAGTATATTCATATTTTCAAGAAATAGTCGTTCTTCGCGAGCTGAGTGAATTTGGGATTGCGTATCAGAGAGTGTCACCTACGACTATTAATTCCTTTTATACCTAGCGAAGTGTTTGCTATTGAACAGAATTTTGTGGTTTCCAACTGCGCTGAAATACGTTTATTTGAGTAGCAGTGTGCCTGATCTGTCAGGTGAGTTGATGCTAATAACATCTTTATAACAATCTTCGATATATCAATTAAGTACTGGACTCCGCTAAGTTCCTATTTTTCTTTCTTCTAATAATTGCGAATCAGTCACGCGACGAAATTAAAGTTTTCTGTCAGTTTGCAGATACCTAGCAAGTTTAGGAATAATAAAACTGGTTTGTCTGACTCTGCTCGTTTCTTTGCTGCAAATATATATACAGTGTGGACCCAAATCAAAAAACCCTGAGATTTAAAGAGAGTTCCGCCGCAATGTTTACAATACACAGATTGTCCTGCTTCACATGAACAAATACAAATCCATTGTTCTACAGGAGTTTCTCTAGATCCCAACTTCAATTTCACTTCATGTGGGGAAGATTTCATCGCCAAAGTTTGAAGACAAAGTGCAAAAAGTGTCTTTTGTTGAAGTCTTCTGCCTCACACAAAATCACATGATTAGCACGGAGAACTGCTTCTCCTTCCACTACTGGTCGGCTTTTTCCATCTAAATAGAGCAAAATATCTGCCAAAAGAACATCTACAACAGGCATTATCAGCGTTTTCCATCGAATATTGACAATTAATGTCAAGCAATTTGAAAACTTATCACACTCTTATCAGTGCACAGTACACAAGCTAATGGCACTAATGGGATTGAGTTTGTTTTCCCCCAGTTTAGACGTGGCTATGACATGGAACGATGAAAACCGAGCGCCACCTGGTAACATTGATTCCCGCGAATTATATTTCTATTTGAGATTTGAAAAAAATCATGAATATGCCGAAGATGTGACACTTGTGACAGATGTCGAATCACGATCAACGTATCAAGAGTACGCTCAAAATATTTCCGTACGAATTATTTGTTGTGCTCTGTCGGATTTGCGTCCTGTCTCTAGATGCTTCTATCCAACTATTATTGAATTCGTGCATCATCAACGGGACTCTTCTGGTCCCGAAAGAAGGAAAACACATCCTTGAAAGTCTAGTTCAACTTCATAATAAGATTCGAAAGGCATTTTGAAAGTTTCCAAGAAATTTTACATCTTCCACGCCATCTATCATCGGATATAAAAACCCTACGTTTCGCATTCAATTGTTCATATCGAGTTAGTCTGACGAAACAATTGAAGAGTGAACACACCAGAGGAATTATAAACATCTCACACTGTTTCCTTCGAATTTTGTTTGTTCTTCGTTTGTGAATATATCAAATATTTATTGCATTTCACAAATCACCATCAAAATATATAGGGTGTAACTTGAATAATAGAAGTTGATTAATAGGGTGTCTTTTCAGGGGTACTTTGACAGAAGTTGACTTTGACACAACGGAATCGAAGTCATATATGGGTTTGACGAAAGTATATTTTTTTAATTTATTCTCTCAAGCAGCATAACTGTGATTGGCTGTATGGAAATATCTGGAACACCCTGGTATATTGATAAAAGAAAAAAATTGTGATCTTTTGTGAACTAATAATTTCTGATCGTTTGAAGCCAGATTGGTATGAATATGACAATTTCTGATAAAATAGTCCCTCATCTTAACGGAGCGATAAATATACCTACAGGTATTAAATATATTTTTTGAATGACCTCAAAAGAATCATTGTCTCGTCTCATTGAGTATTTTATGTGAAATAAAACAAACAAAAAATTATCAATTACTTGATTTTCATGCATCAAAATTAATGTATGATATATTGGTTGAAAAATCCGGCTTTCTCATATATCGTAAAGTATCAATCATCTGACAATAAAAATAACGAACATAATTGAAAAATATGAATACAAAATAACAACAATAATCATTCGTCAATACGATGGATTCCATTGAGAAATAATATGCAACATGAAAATTTCATACCAGTTGATGATGTTTTTGTTGAGTCTGAATTCGCTATGTGTTTTGGATCTGTCATATCATGAGCATAATAATAATAATAATTATGATGATAATGGTGCCTCTTCCGCAGCCAGTCTCTGTGTGTAATATTCTTGTAAATATGTTAATTCTGTCTCTCTGTATATATAATTGTTAGATTATTAGAGAGCAATATTAGATATTTTAATCATCTCCATTACGAACATGTTGAAAGCTTATGAATTGGCGTAGGTATTGTAAATAATTTTACATGCAATAAAACATTCGAATATTCAGGAAATATCGTTTTGATTAATACCTGAGATCCTTTTCATTTTGATGTGATTCTGATCCACACTGAGCGTCTTCGATGAAGCACGTTTGATGAATAAAGAGGTACTAGGGGAATGGAGGTCTCAATTTCGTGCAGTCCAAGAGATAAAGAAAAGAGCAAGGCAGCAGTATTATACTTGGTACCCGGCAATTGAATTTGATGTTTCGAAAAAGGAGGCAATGGAAAAAATTACAAACGTCAAATAGTGATCAAACTGTGGGAGATATATTGCTGGAGGTTTTTTGTTGCAATGGCAAATTGGCCAATGAAGAATTCTTCTCATTATGTCAAATTGTGTGTCCTTTCGCTATGCCTTCTGTACAGAACATTGAAACCAAAATGGCAGAATTCTGAATGTTGGTCTATCGGTATCATTATTGTGGATATTGAACAATCGCATATTTGTATAGAGGATCGAGAAACGTTTCATGAATAATAAAAATGAAGTGCGATTCCTTCACCTTTCCGCTGGTACCATTATAATATAGTAAGTAAGGTTATATAATAAATATATATATATGTTTTCATTAAAATGTGACCATGTTTATGAACCTCATATTGTTAAAAATGTTCATATGATCATCATATTTTCATTGTAGAAATGTCTGAATTCTGAAGTAGGTATTATAGATGAATAGGGGAGAGGGCCCTAAGATGGCGAAGTAGATAAGATGACGAATAGGCTATAACTAATACCCTCTCTCTCTTTGCGCTGCCAATATGACGTGAAACATTCGTTAGGAACTTGCACCTCACGGGGTTTTTTTACTTTGACCTGGAGATCGTTAGTATGTCCGCAACAAGCGAGTAAGGTGCAGCGTCGTACTTCGTTATAATTTTGATGGCTTAGAATATAACGTCTGCATTTTTCTAGGTAAGTTCAAACTCAAAACTTTTTGTAGTTAAATGTTTATGAGTGTGTTTGGCATCATTTGTGATATATTCACAAACGCTTAATTCACGTTTTTTCTTTGTTTTGATTTTTTGAATTTTAACTGAGTTTGGGGTTAAGTTGACGAAACACGAAAGTAGCTAAGATGACGAATTCGTCATCTTACCCACTTTCATTATAATATGATGTTTGTCGGGTAATAAATTATTTACACACAATTTCATGCAGATCATAAAATATGGGAAGAGTGTACAAGCGTAACACGGAACGACAGTCATGGAATGAAGAGAACATGCGAATTGCCATTAATGAGGTTAGACAAAACAACAAAAGCGTCAATTCCGTAGCAAAAGCATATAATCTCCCGGAACCAACTCTTAGAAGATATCTGATGCTTTAGAACACAAGCACAATGAAAAGTGTGAAGAAGAAAAGAAGAAACAAATGAAATGCTTGTCAAAGAAAACAATAAGAAAAATCAGCAGCAAATCGGTTCAAGAGAAGAATAGTGAAGCAAATAAACAAAATAAAAATAAAAGTGTGGAGCGCCAAGTGTTTGAGTCATCTGATTCATCTGAGAGTTCCGTAGATGTATAGCTGTGGTGGAAAGTAATGATGACATGGACGAAGAGGTTGAAGAAGATGACAGACTGTGCATATTTTGTGAAGATGAAGGCAAAAATAATGAGCTTTGGTTTGTTGTAGTAAATGCACAAAGTGGGCTCACGCAGAATGCACTGGACTGAATTTGAAAGAAGCAAAAGCCAAAGTCTGGGTGTGCATTTTTGTTGTGATTAAAATTAAGTCATAATTTTTTATTTTTTGTTCGCCCTTTCAGTTCTTGTTCATTCAAAAAAATCATTGAAACGTTCAAATGTATTTTATTATGGCCTTTTTTCCATATTCGTCAACTTACCCACATACGTTCGTCATCTTGTCAGCAAAAGCGGGTAAGATGACGAAAATGACATTTTTTTCTCAACAGAAAATTTTCAGTCACAAAGTGCAGATTTCAATCAAAACTGATTCAAATATTCATAAGTCACTTGAATATCATATGCCCTGCAGTAAAAAAAAAATATTGGTAAGAAAATAGAGTTTTAATTGGACCGCAAACCTTAAGTTCGTCATCTTAGGGCCCTCTA